CATACACATACCAGGAGTCCCAGAAGGAGAAGAGAGAAAGAAACAAAAAGACTATTTGAAGAAATAATGGCCAAAAGTGTCCCAGATTAGATGAAAATCATAAATCTAAATATCCAAGAATCTCAATGAACTCCAAGAAGCATAAACCAAGAGAGATTCACAGGAAAACACATTATAGTCAAATTGTCAAATCCCAAAGACAAAGGGAGAATCTAGAAAGCAGCAAGAGAGAAGTGATTCATCACATACAAGAGACACTGTGTGTAGTTAATAGCCCATTTTTCTTTGGAAACTGGAAGCCAGAAGACAGTGGGGTGACATATATAAAGGACTGAAAGAAAAGAACTGTCCACCAATAATTGCATATCCGGCAAAACAAAAACAGAAAGAGCTCATTACTAGTAGACCTGTGCTACAAGAAATGCTAAAGGGAGTCCTCCAGGCTGAAATAAAAGGATAATTGAAGCCATATGAAGAGATAAGGAACACAACACTAAATGTAGCTACATAGATAAATATAAAAACCAGTAATATTGTATGTCTGGTTTATAACTCCTTTTTTTTCCTACATGATTAAAAGATAAATAAAGCAATAATTATATATGTTAATTGACCCACAATGTATAAACATGTAATTGGTAAAAATAACAACATAAAGGGGGGAGATGGAGTTTTAAAGGATCAGAGTTTTTATGTATTAGGTTGGCCAAAAAGTTAATTTGGGGTTTTCCGTAAGATGTTATGGAAAAACCCGAATGATCTTTTTGGCAAACCCAATACTACTGAAAGTATCTTGGTACTAATTCAAACCTGATTCTTACAAAGTTAAAATGCTAATTGTAACCCCAGGGTAACCCTAGTATTATGGACTGTATTGTGTCTCCCCAAAATTCATATGTTGAAGCCCTAACTCCCAATGTGGATGGTATTTGAAGATGGGGCCTTTGGGAGGTAATTAGATGAGGTCATGAGGGTGAGGTCTTCATGATGAGATTTATACCCTTATAAGAAGAGACCAGAGTGTGCTTGTTCTCTCTCTCTCTTTTCCCCACCATGTGAAGACATAAATAGAAGTAGGCCTTCTGCAAGCCAGGAAGAGAGCTCTCATCAGAAACTCATTGCCAGTATCTTGACCTTGACCTTGGACTTTTCAGTCTCCATAACTGTGAAAAATAAATGGCTGTTGCTGAAGCCACACAGTCTATGATATTTTGTTATAGCAGCCAAGCTGACTAAAACATCCAGGAAATAACCTTTTTTTAAGTATACAGAAAAGGAAACAAGATGGGAGTCAGAATAGTAAACTAGAAAAAAAAATCACTCACAGAACGAGGCAGTAGTGGAGGGATAAAAAGAAAATTGAGGAATAAAAAGAAAATAAGACATAGAGAAAACAAATAGCAAAATTGCAGAAGTAAATCCTTTCTTATCGATAATTACTTGAACTGTAAATGGATTGAACCCTCCAATTAAAAAGAAGAGATTGGAAGAATCGATCTTTAAAAATGATCCAAATATATGTTGTCTAAAAGAGACGTACTTTAAATCCAAGGACATAAATAGATTGAAAGTAAAAGGATGAAAAATAAATTCCACGCAATAAAAAAATGCCAGAAGAGACCTGGGGTGGATATACTAATATCAGACAACATGGACTTGAAGTCACTAATCGTGATGAGACAAAGAAGGACATTACATGTTGACAAAAGGGTCAATATATCAAGATATACCAATTATAAACATATATGCCTCTAACAAAAGAACCACAAAATATATGAAGCAAAAAACTGACATAATTGAAAGGAGAAATAGACAGTTTTACAGTAACCGTTAGAAACTTCAATACCCCACTCTAAAGAATAGATAAAACAAGACAGAAGATCAGTTTAAAAATAGAGGACTTGAATGATGCTATGAACCAACTATATCTAAAAGACATCTAGAGAAGACCCTACCCAAAACAGCAGATTGCATATTTTTCTCAAGCACATGTGGAATATTCTCCATGATAGACAGTATGTCAGGCAACAAAAACAAATCAAGCCTCAATAAATACTAAATGATCGAAGCCATAAAAATCAATCCTATTTCTATGTATTAGCAATGTACAGTTGGAAACAGGATTTCTAAAATGCCATTTACAATGGCTCTAAAAAAATAAATATTTATACCTATACTTAGGTATAAGTCTAACAAAACAAATATAGGATGTGTATGGCTGAAAACTTCAAAATGCTGAAGAGCTAAATAAATGGAGAGAAATACTGTGTTCATGGATTCAAAGACTCAAAGGAGTAAAGATAAGAAATTGATCTACAGATTTAACTCAATTCAAAAAATTCTGGCAGGACTTTTGAAGACACAGACAAGCTGATTCTAACATTTATATAGAAAGTTAATAAATAAGAATAGCTAAGATACTTTTGGAAAAGAAGAATAAAGTTGGAGAAATTATACCATTTGATTTTAAGTCCTTTTATAAAGTTAGAATAATTTAAACAATGTGGTATCAGTAAAGGAAGAGACACATAAATCAATGAAACCAAGTAGAAAGTCCAAAAGTAGATTTACCCAAATATGACCTTTGATTTTTAACAGTAGTGCAAAAGAAATTCAGTGAAGAAAGCATAATTTTTTTCAACTAATGGAACTGGAACAATAGGATACCCTTACGTAAAACAAAACAAAACACCTCTACCTAAATATGCTAGATTATACAAAAATTTACTCAGAATGGATTATTGATCTAAATGGAAAAATGAAACTATATAAAACTTTTAGAAAAAAAATAGAATAAAACTTCTGTGACCTAGGGTTAGACAAAAAAGTTCTTTCACATGAAACTCTAAAACAATACAAAAAAATTGAACGTTATCAAAATTAAAATCTTTTGCTGCATGAAAGACACAGTCAAGAGAATGAAAAGACAAACTACATACTGAGAAAAAAATATTTGTAAACCATGTATTCAGTAGAGAACATGTATCAAGGATTTACCAAGAAATCTCAAAACTCAACACTATGAAGACAACCCCACTAAAAAATGGGCACTGAACCCCCATGTTTGAATAGGCACTTAACCACGAGGAGATATAGATGGCAAATAAGTATGTGAAAAAGTGTTCAACATCATTATCCACAATGCAAATTAAAATTAACAATGAGATACCATGACAAACCTATCGGAATGACTAAAATTATAAAATACCGACAATGCTAAGTGCTGTCAAAGATGCGGAAAAATAGCAATTCACGTGCATTGCTAACGGGGATGCAAAATGATATAATCATTCTGGAAAGCAGTTTGACAGCTTCCTACAAAGTTAAACACACCACATGACCCAGCAATCCCACTCCTGGGTATTTAGCCAAGAAAAATGAAAACTAATATTCATGCAAAAACCTGTACACAAATATTTATAGCAGCAGTCTTCACAGTCATCAAAAACTGGAAACAAACCAATGTCCTTCAAATAGAGAAACAAACTGTGGCACATATATATAATGTATATATACATTACTACTCAGCAATTAAAAACAAATAAGCTATTGATACAAACAACAACCTGGATGAATCTCAAAGGTGTTATGCTGAGTGAAAGAAGCCAATCTCTAAAGGTCACATACTATATGATTCAATTCACATGATATTCTCAAAAGATAAAACTATAGCAACGGGAAACAGATAATGATTTTTATGAGTTGCTGGTGGGGGAGCTTTTGATTACAAACAAATAGCATGAAGGAGTTCTTCGGGTTATAGAATTTTTCAATATCCCAATTGTGATGGCAGTTACACAGATCTGTACATGTGCTAAAATTCATGGAGCTAAACACCAAAAAAGTCAAAAATAAGAAAAATAAAGAAACATATATAGCCAACATCTTAGCACACAAAGGTGCACAATAAGTGTTTGTTGGATCAAATTACAAACAATGTTGAAGATCACTACTGCCCATATTTCACCCTGCCCCAACATAGTTGAAATTATTGTGTCCACTGGCTGATTATGTGTGTGTAAGCAAGAATGAGGTTGTCCTGGAGAGAAGACAAGTCAGTTAGAGACAAACTTCAGGATACTTTCACCATCATGGACACAGTTATCTTTAAGGTCACCAGGTCCAAAACTCTCATACACAGCACAATCCTTTGGAGGAAGACTATAATAAACATGTGTTAATTGTTTCACTAACTGCTACTCCTTTCCTTTTTCTTAACATCTCCAGAATCTCCCCAGGTGGGATTAAGCCCAACTCCAAATTTAGAAATGGCTTCTAATTACATTAAAGCAATCAGTCTTTTATTTTCTTTGACCCCTGTGATTGACTTAGTGGTTGGCTCCAGGAACTAAGAAAGAGGCCAACTGGACCCTATTTCTGGATTACTGCGTGAGCTATGACGTAAAATCCCTTTTTTTGTTGGGTTTGAGTCTGGAACCATGTCACTCTAAGGACTGGTTACCATCTTTCAGTGATAAAGAGAAAATCCACTGAGAGAGCAAGGAGGCAGAGAAATGAACTGAGAGTGAAAAACTGGTTCCCGGCCATAACATTTTCCCCTCCAGTCCAGTTTCCCACTTAAGTAGGTGATAAAAAATACCAGACCCCTTCCCAGTCCTGCTAGCCCAAATCTCTAGGGAAGTCCTGGAAAACTTTGTCACACCTGGAGCTAGCCCTAAGGTTGGAGTTTTCAGGAATATAGACCAATAAATTTCTTTTATTATTTCAGAGAATTTGTGATAGGTCTGTTACTTACCAACCAAAGCATCCTAGCTGACAGAAGCCAGCTAGATTTGTTTCCTTTTATTTTTAAAATCATTTCTTTGCAGGGAAGTAAGCATAAGATCAAAATGGGTTATTATTTACATGCCTCTGATAAGTTCAAAGGACAACCTCAATTAGGATTTCCAGAACAACCTGAAAAAAAAAACAGGTTGAGAAATCTCTCTTCCCTCCCACTGCTCCTCCCTCTGGCTCTCCTTTCTTTGATTAAATAGGCATTAGGACACCTTTTCAAAAAGGCTTTTCTGTGGTGTTCAGAATCATTTCTAGAAATTGAAACCTCAGACTTTCCAAGATGTACCTCAGTGCTGCATATCACCGCATACCTCTAAGTGATGGAAACAGCATTCCTATCATCGGTCTTGGTACCTACTCAGAACCTAGATTGGTAAGCTTATCTCTCTCTGTTTTTTTGTTTTTTTTTAATTAACACTTTCCTAAAGGATAATCTGTAATTCATTTTGAATGGATTTCATTGATTTAATTATTGTAATAATGAATGCAACCTTGAAGGACTGCTGTTTGGCTGAATAAGTACTGAGCCAATGGTTAAACTAAATCAGTTTATGATTTTAAAGTATCTTGGCTTAAAGAATGGGACCTTTCTGCTTCCTTTACTAAAATTCAGCCTGAATGCTGGTTATCAGGTTGAACTGAAGTACGTAAAATTTCTGAGTTTATGATTTTTTTAAGTTCATATTTGAGAATTTTTAGTTCAGTCCAACAAAACATTTAGTGAAAACGTACCATGTATGAAGCACTAGGCTATAGAACCTTCAAATATGAAGAGAATAGTGTCTCTGCTGTCTAGGGATTAAAAATCTAATAGAGGAGACAGACTCTAATAACTAATTAATCATAGAACAATGAAGAGTAAATGCTGTCTGAGAATTTTAAACAGTATCTCTCTGAAAACACAGGAAAGGGAATAGTTAGATTTGACCATGAGGACTGAAGTGGGTTTCCATTAAAACACAGAAAAGCTTCTACTTGTAAGAAAAATATCTTTCTGCTTTCCACATTGCAATTCCACATTTAATGCTAATTACCAGAATAAACAGTGGTTATATCTAGAAATGCTACTGAAATTTGAATGATCATGTGTGAATGAACTCTGTTAAACTAAGTATAAGTTAGCTAGGCAGAGAAGCAGAGCTGAGGCAGGACATTGTAGGCAGAAAGAGAAGCACAGAGACGCAAGGATATGAATCTGATTATGTCATGCCTCTGCCTGACACGGTTAAGTGTTAAAAAAATTTTAGCTATTATTATTGTATGCATTTACATCTCCATATCCTCTGATGCACACACACATATATATATATAAATATATATATATATACACACACATACATACACACACACATATATATATATATATATATATATCTCCTTTCATTCACTTGACAAGGATTACCTGAACACCCAGCACGCATACTATACTGGGAATATAGAGCTGAACAAGACATGGTCTCTTTCCTGATGGATTTTACATCTTATAGGGAAGATTGCACAGAAAAATTTAGCTATTATTATTGTAGTACTCTTTGTAGTACTTTATAGTACATGCATTTTCTAATTTAATCCTCACAACATTATGAAAGAGATACCATTTTACAGATGAGAAAACTGAAACATGGCAAGATAAAGTAAAATGTCCCTAACTTATAATGGTGAGGAAGAGAACTGGAATTTGAACCAGTGCAGTTTTGGTCCAGGTCCTATCCTCTGAGTCCCTATACTATATTACCTGTTATAAATGTATGTTATGTCAATGCAGCTGCATATTTCTATGACTTTCTATATGTATTTCTATATATGAAAGTATCTAGGAATATATATCCAGAAAGTACCTAGGATGGATAGATAGATAGATAGATAGATAGAATGATACATCTAGGATATGAATCTAATTATGTCATGCCTCTACTCATTTCAATGACTATCAATTATATGGCTCCTTGCTTGCACATCTATCATTCTATCTATCTCTCTGTCTCTCTATCTGTCTCCTGAAACTCAGTGGGGCTCAAAGTGCTGCATCTACCAATAAATATTATTAAGTGCCTGCTATGTGTCTAGTAATATTAAATGCTACAGGATGGAGACATTCAAAAGCATTCATGTGTCATTTCCCAAAAAGAGTTGTAACTCACTTCAGAAGATAAGACATTACTGCAGTTAGAGAATATGGCATTCGAGGAATATTATTAGAAATGAAGATTATGCATGCACAAACCACATTTGTGATCAGAAATACAGAACTAAAGGTATGTCTCACAAAATTGGAAACTCTAATGTGAAGAAAAATGCCCACCATGGAAGATTTGGGGGAGGGGTATAGGCAGAGCTAGGTTGAGGGGGAGACGGGGAGTGGGGAGGGTGGAGTATCTCCTAGCTGGAACACTCAGCAGTTTCTGTTCAAAGCCATACAACTGACAACTCCCTCACCATCTACCCAGGGCTGATGAGACAGACACTAGGAGTACCCATGCCCAAGTCGGTCACCAAGAAATAAAAGTACCGAATTAGATTTAACGTCAGAATCTTAGTCCTAGAGATGAAATCTGATGCCAAAATTCAGTCTTCTCTCCTCAGCTTGCCTGAGGTGCTTTTCAAAACCTTTCATTCCACAAGAGATGGAAGGAGAATGACAGGCTGAGGTAACTCATTAACTGAAATGCTTCACATTTCATGTATATAATCAAGTCAGTCAATATTTGTCCTGGGATCCTGTTGCATTTTGATACAGAAGTTAGCAGACGCCAGGGGAAGATTTAGGCTTGTCTTCAGGGGGAGTCGGGGTAGGAGCAGAGATGAAAGGCTGAGATAAGGAAGACTAACAATAACCTCTCCTCCAGCATCTGCCCATTTGAGACTCCACTGTCACACACGTGGCGACAGGAACTATAGAACAGCATCCCGGAGGAACATTATCGTGCAGCTGTGTGAGGCCAACCAGCCTAGCTTCTCCGGACTTACAAAGATTTTTTTTCTCTTAATATGCCCAACTTTCTTATTAAGGTGTTTCATGCCTGTGGAGTTAGGGAATTTGAGATGGAACCAGCATTTAGTAGCACCAAGCGCTCTGTGCATTTCCTCACTTGACAATCACTAACTAATGAAAACTGAACTGTACAAATTATCTATGCACCATTTCCCTAGGACAGATTCCCAGAATGTTTTCATACAGGGATGAAATAGTCTATAATAGCCTCCCAGCAAGTCTCCCTTCTTCCTGTCTCTCTCCCTATATCTCTGTCTGAGAAAGTCCAATAGGCAAGAGTTTTGAATCTTGTTCGTTTTTCTGCTTTGATAGAAATTAATTTGGTTTTTATATATATCAGCCCATGAGTTAATAACCAGTATTTATCAAAAAGTTCAAGTAAAACTCAAGAATGTTACCAAGTGTGCAAATGACACAAATCTGGGACCAATGGTAAATATTTTGGAAAATGGGCAATAATTCAGTTCAATAAATATTTATTGTGTGCCTACCATGTATGAGGCATTTTTCTAGGTAACACAGGGATCGAAACAATGGACTAGAAACAAGGGATTTGAAATCTGTGAGTGACTGAGGCAGAAAAAATAAATACACTTATAAATAAAATATAAAGAAAAGCTGAAGTGCTTGTTCAAAGATGAAAGTAACAGTGAACAAATCTAGTTATGGGGTAGATCATGAAACACCAAGCTATAGGGAAGGAGTAGCCTAGATTGGGGTTGTAACTGATCCAGTATCCCTTCCTGGGTGGCTCTGGTTAAGATTTCTATAGCTGTAAACAGTTTTCACTCTGAAGAGTGAGCCAAAGGCTTTGTATATGGGGCAAAGGAGAGGTGAAGTCCAATCTCTTGAGTACTAAGGAGGAGCCTGAAACATCAAGGGGCCACTGTGATGGAATTTTGTAGTAGGGAAGAGAGATTGGTGTCAATTCTGAATACATGGGCAAGTGAGAATTTATAACCAAGGTGCAGGGTTGGAATCTGTGGGTAGAAAATTACTAAGAGGAAACATCAGGAATACAGGGCCATTCTGGCTAAACTGACCTAACAGGATTCTTGCTGAAAACAGGGTTGGGTGACTAGACATCTCCTGGGGCATGGTGGAGGAGGAGGAACCTGATTTGATATCAAGCATGATCAGATATGGAGGGTGAGAGGTTGTGGTTAAACTGACTTAGCAGGATTCTTGCTAAGCTTGGACAGAGCAGAGATGAGTATGAAAGTCCATGTTGGAAAAGAGTTCAAAAGAACCTGATTAGAGTTTGGTCCATGAAAGAATCCTTGCCAGGGTTGAGGATGTTCCCACAATCTCTACCTAAAGGGACCAGGGACAAGGCAGGAACCGTAAATAAGTGGCCCTAGAGAGCCAAGTCTATTTCTCAGTTTTGTTCTGCTTTCCCATTTTGATAGTAGATATAAGTGCAAGAAATGCTTTCTTCTTCTTTGCTACAAAACAAAAACAAAAAAACACAAAAAACATGTGCAGGCAACACTTAGGAGACGATTGATGGTACAAAACACAATAAACAGAGTACCAGGGATTCCACTCACCATTCTAAATGAAGATGGTAATTTCTCCGCTACAGCTAATTGTCATGCATAAACAAAAGTCCAGTGTGGCCTGATCTTCTCACATTTTTCAAAGAATATTGTAAAGTAATTAATAATTTTTAAGTAATGGCAACATTTATATTTTTGTAAAACGCTATATGAGCTAGTATTTTAAGAGTCAAAGAAAATAACTCAGCTGGTGTTTGTTTTTACTTTTAGTAGAGTGTGTATCCTGAGTTCTTTGCAGTACCTGTGACCCCTTCACACTCACAACTCCTGCCACAGAAGCTTGGCTCTTAGAAAGCAAATACCAGGAACTGACTTCTGCATTTTATATCATTCCTCTCCAGAGGCAATGAATGCTGCACATCAAGCTACAAAAAATGGTTTGCCGGGGGGGTGGGGGGGGGGGGGGGGGGGGTAGATGGTAACAAAAAAATACCAGGGAGAAAAAAGTAGGTTCATATTTCAAAGCTATTACCCTGCCAACGTTAAAACGAATTAAAATGAGAAGAGGCGAAATACATAGAGATCAAGTGAGATGGCTTCTCTAATAAATCAGGCAAAAAATAAGAAGAACTTAAACTTGGTCGGTGGCTGTGAGGAAAATAATTTGGCTGGGGCCTAAAAAAGAAGTAACTTGGCTGAAGGATACAAATCATGGTAGGTAGACTCTACAAAGCTTGGCAGCCAATTGGATCCAAACAAAGGAGGACAAATAGTAGGTCCAAGGCCAAAAATGGATGTTTCATGCCCAGGTTACTACATTCTTTGGATCTAAAGTTTTGAACTTATTTGAGTCACTTACCTTTTATTTTTGATCTACTTCCTTATTTTTTTAACATTTAAAAATTTGAAATATATAGAAGGGTGAATACTTTTAAAGCTAACGTCTGAGTAACCACCACACAGATCCAAAATTAGAATATACCAACCCCCAGAAACCCTCCGTGTGCCCTTCCCAATTCAAAACCATCTCTCCCTCAAGAGGTAATTTATCTTCTAACTTTCATGGCAATTATTTTCTTGCTTTTTTCTAAAGGTCATATAACTTTTTTCAGGTAGATTGCCTATCTCCTCTTCATTTAGTTGTTCTTGTGGGGCTTTTTCTTGTTCCTTCATTTGCAACATATTTCTCTGTGTTCTCATTTTGTCTGACTTTCTGTGTTCATGGTCTTCTTTCCACAGTCTGCAGGATCATAGTTCCTCTTGCTTCTGGTGTCTGCCCCCTGGTGGGTGAGGTTGGTCCAGGGACTTGTTCAGGCTTCCTGTTGGGAGAGACTGGTGCCTGCCCTCTGGTGGGTGGAGCTGGGTCGTGTCCCTCTGATGGGCAGGGCCATGTCCATGTCAAGGGGTGTGTTTTGAGGTGGCTGTGAACTCAGTACAACTTTAGGCAGCCTGTCTTCTGATGGGTGGGGCTGTGTTCCTATCTTGTTGGTTGTTTGGTGTGAGGCTTTCCAGCACTAGAGTGTGCAGGTTATTGAGTGGGGCCGGGTCTTAGTGCTGAAATGTGGACCTCTGGGAGAGCTCACTCCAATCAATATTCCCTGGGTCTTCCGCTACCAGTGTCCTTGCCCCCACAGTGAGCTATAGTCTACCTTCACCTCCCCAGGAGACCCGCCAAGACCCCTAGGTAGGTCTGGCCCAGGTCCCTATGGAAGTACTCCTGTGTGCTGGATCCCAGTGCATGTGAGACCTTGTGTGCACCCTCCAAGAGTGGAGTCTCTGTTTCCCCTGCCCTGTGGAGCTCCTGCACTCAAGCCCCACTGGCCTTCAAGGCTAAATGCTCTGGGGGTCCTTCCTCTCAATGCCAGACCCTCAGACTGGCACAGAGGGCTATTTTTATGTGGGAACATCCCTGTGTAGCCTGCATGGGTTTAATATTTTTTGGTGTGAGGGCTCTTTTTAGTATAGATGTCTGCCACCTCTTTCCTCAGTGTATGCTGGCTGTTATCCCTTTGACAGGAGGTGTGACTGATGTGGTGACCAGAACCTGCACTGGATATTGAGCAGGGCCTCCCCTTTGCTCTCTGGTTGTCACTGCCCTGTCAGGGGTGGGGTCTGCTCCCTAGTCGTTGGAGTAGAGTCCCCCAGATCTGTTACTGAGCTGTGTTTCTGATCTGCAGTGTGAGGTAGGTGGGACTGGAGCATTCCTCCTCTGGAGCTGTTCACCTATGGGTGTGCTCTGTTGTGTCACCTTCACCTGTTGTACAAGCTCTTAGATTACACTGTTGTTGGTACTGCTCTCGTCCCCACCTTAACCGTGGGAATGCCTGCAGTTGGCCCCAGTGTCCCTCAGACATTGTTTTCACCAGGCCACCAGCGCAGATCCACTGAAGTCATGTCCCAGGATTGCAGTAAGCATGGATCTGGACCCGCTGTGTGCACTATGGGGGCAGCTCAGATTCTGGGCTGGCCCGACCCCCTGTGCAAGTGCCCACAGAGTCTACAGCTGTTAAGCTAGGCCCGTCTTGGCTGCAGGAGCAGCTGCTGTCCGTTTAGATGTTCTGCAGGCACTTGGCTTACAAAGCTGGTCGCAGGGTCGTCAGTTCGCAGATTGGGCAGCTGCGAGGAGAGACTTCAGCTTTTCTTCCTCAGTTGTACAGCCCCTGGGGCTCAGCTGTGGTTTCAGCACCACCTCTGCATGTGGGCCACCCACAGGGGTCTGCTCCCGAGGCTGCCCTGGAGCACACAAGTCCTCCCCGGCGAGGAGGGGGTTGTGGATGCAGCAACAATGGGGGTCACAAGAGCTCCTGCCCTGGCAGGAGCCCTTCCCCGTGCCCAGGGAGGCAGGGGCCTTATGCGGGGAGAGAGGCTGCAATGGCAGTCCTGCCCCTTGCAAGTCACTTAACAATGGTGCTTCGCTTCTATGGCGGTCTGGGTTTCCTCTACAAGCGTTCCTAGCTGTGGATTTCCTCACTTCCATCCCCTCAGGCTGTCTCCGCACAGTCAACAGAAGTCTTCTCCCCGGGTCTGCTCTCCAAACCCCACATTTTAGCACCCAGCCCCCATACACACTGGCGACACACCTTTCAGGCTGGGGCACACAGGGCTGTGGTGAGGACCATCTGTGTAGGTCTCACTCTGTCCTGCCTGCCACAGACAGGTTGCTGGGCTCTCCTCTCATAGCTCCCGAAGTTCCCCTTCTGTCCCAACTGATCTCCTCGCTGTGAAGGGCTTCCCCGGGTACGGGAACCTCTCCTCACCTTCAGCTCCCCCAAGGGGTGCAGGTCCCATCCCACTTCCTCTCCTCTTCCTTTTCCCTTCTTTCTTTCATCCTACCCAGTTACGCAGGGGTCTTTCTTGTCCTTTTAGGTGTCCGAATTTGTCATTTTCACTATAAAACGATGTATGTGCCAAGTGTCCTGATTAAGAATGATTAAAGAAAAGACACATTTCTCTTCTCCCCCAACCCAACCCCCCTATCATTTTAGACCCCTAAGGGGACCTGTGCAAGATCAGTGAAAATTGCCATTGACACGGGGTACCGGCACATTGATGGCGCCTACCTCTACCAGAACGAGCACGAAGTGGGGGAGGCCATCAGGGAGAAGATAGCAGAAGGAAAGGTGCAGAGGCAGGATATCTTCTACTGCGGAAAGGTGAGGTCTTCCCTTCACCCTGCACGACTTACGTTCATGGTGGGTCTGACATCTTTTCTCTGCTGAAGAATATTGAACTCACCAAACCCTGCAGGCTTGCAGGATCTTAGTTCCCTGTGTTCCCTGCAGTGGAAGTGCAGAGTCCTAACCGCTGGACTGCCAGGGAAGTCCTGAGGAGTGAGTTCTTAACTGCCAAATTCCTCAATCTTGCCAAGAATTTAGGGACTAATTAGCCCCATGAAGTTTAGGGAAAAGTTCTTTCTTCATACTTGGGCATTGATTTAAGACAATACGGAAGAGCCAAATCTACAAAGAAAGTTGATTTGAGGAGTGAAGGGAAGTAAGGAGGTGGTTCATGTTATAATAAGCATGTGTCAAAACTTCTTTTAAAAGGAGGCAGCTTTTTCTTCTGTATATGCCTATTTGTCCATAGATCACTATTTTTTTTTGAGATATAATTCATGTACCATAAAGTTCACCATTTTTAGTATATTCACAAAGTTGTACAACCATGACCACTACCTTTTCCAGAATATTTTTATCACTCCAAAAAGAAACCTCTTACCCACTAGTAATCACTGCCCATTTATCCCTCTCCCCCATTCACTGGTAAACACTGATCTACTTTCTGTCTCTTTAGTTTTCCTATTCTGGACATTTCATACAAAAGGAATCATACAATATGTGTTCTTTTCTGTCTAGCTTCTTTCACTTAGTATAATGTTTTCTATTTTCAACCATGTTGTAGTACATATCAGAATTTCATTTCTTTTTATGGCCAAATAATATTCCATTGTATGGATATACCACATTTTGTTTAGATCACTACCTTTTGAGAAATTGAAATCTCCAGAAATCACTATCCATTGAAGAGCAATCAGAAAGATAAAGCATCATGATAAAATGAAAGCCAGTGGAAATATAGGATACATATTTACAGGCAGCCTTGCAGGAATAAAACTGTATAACTTTAGAGAACTTGTAATACAATTCTCCTAAGTTTTCTAAAGAGAACAAAATGGTGCTTCTGACTTCACTCACTCCCCAGAACCCCATCCTCCCTACTCCTTTCCAGCCTCTCCAGGAGTTTGCAGTTCCCCAAGTCACCAGCCACTTATGGGCTATGATTTATTTCAAGGGGCCATGTAGAGCCACTGTCCCAAAATATCAGCCTGAAGCTTCTCACTTTATTATAGCTTTACAGCCTGATTCCTAAAGATTTTGTTATTACAGAGTCTCTCATTACAACTCACCAAGTGTTTCTGGGGAAAAATAAACTTGAACTCATATCCTGAGGACCTGAGCCAAAGAAGCCTGCCCAAAGCTGGAAATATTTTTGAATTTATTAAAAAAAAAAAAACTTTCATTCTTATCTCTTTGGTAAACCATTAAAGCTGTTGGAATACCTATCATGATGAAAAAATTGAACTGAATTAAATCACCCATTTCATTTCATTTCAAGGCTTGATATGAGTTAACATTTACAAAGCACTTAAAGAGTACCTACAACTAGCACTGCATGTTTGTTGAATAAAAATAGATTAAAACATAAAACAGAATTTTCAGTTAGATGAGATTTCACCAATACACCAAAAGGACCCACAGTAACAACAAAAACACATTTTTCTCTACTCTCACATTGCCTTCTCTATGCTCTGAAGGCAAGAAAAAAAATTATTGTCCAACATAGGAAAAAAATCAAATTTTGCTTGCTCTTAACTTGTGGCAAAAAATGTACATAAATTCAAAACTTTTTTTTCCAAAAAATATGTAAGCAAATTTGATGCTCCAAGAAGATGTATTCATTTATCCTGAAGCTCTGGGTACCCTTCACTATCCCATGTTTTACAGACCTCAAGGGTACACATGCTCCAGTTTGACAACCCAAGGCTTAATCTTTCATTACCTAACACTTCAGAGAAAGAGTAATTTCTTTTTCTTTTTTTCTTATTTATGTTAAGCTGTCTACATTCCTTTTATTTACTTTTTCAGCTTTATTGAGATATAATTGACATATGGCCTTTTATAAAGTGTACAACGCATTGATTTGATACAATTATATATTGCAAAATGGTTACCACCGTAGTGTTAGCTAACATCTCCATAATTACCATTTATTTTCTGTGATGAGAATATTTAACATTTATTCTCTTGGCAACTTTCACGTATATAATACAGTATTGTTATCTATAATCACCATGCTGTTCATTAGATCCCCAGAACTTATTCATCTTATAACAGGGAGTTTGTACCCTTTGACCAACATCTCCCCATTTGTATTCATGAATAGCTGTTTTGTTTTGTTTTGTTTTTTCATGAATAGCTATTTTATTGTTTTTTAATATAAATTTATTTATTTTATTTTTGGCTGCGTTGGGTCTTCATTGCTACATGCAGGCTTTTCTCTGGTTGCGGTGAGCAGGGGCTACTCTTCATTGTGGTGTGCAGGCTTCTCATTGTGGTGGCTTCTCAGAAGCACAGGCTCTAGGCACGCGGGCTTCAGTAGTTGTTGGACATGGGCACAGTAGTTGTGGCTCGCAGGCTCATGAGCGCAGGCTCAGTAGTTGTGGCGTACGGGCTTAGTTGTTCCGCGGCATGTGGTATCTTCCTGGACGAGGGCTCGAACCCATATCTCCTGCATTGGCAGGCGGATTCTTAACCACTGTGCCACCAGGGATGCCCCATGGATAGCTATTTAATTGTTGATCTTTGTTGGAGGGCTGGAAGCTGGGGTCTCCCGTGCTGCCATTTTGGTAACATTATTGGTTCAGATCTTAGTAGGGATTGGCAGAATTTTCCTGGGGAAATGAGGAAGTGAACCAAATGAGAACAAAGGAGCAGTGAAAAGGGATCTAAACTTTTGCAATAATTTAAAATTTCACCAGCTTCTGCACCACCCATCACAATGTGGAGGATCTGGTGAAGACACATACACAACCATATTTCTTACTCAGATGAAGCACACCTTTTATCAGTGAAATGAAAGTAAAGTGCCAAGCCAGATCAGAACCACTAGTCGGATACATGTTCCCTAATTACACAATGAGGAAAAGTGAAAGTGCAAAGAGTCGATTAGGCAATTAGCACAGAGCAGAGGAAGACTTTATTGCTGAATTAGGTACTCTGTGGTTCAGATGGATCTTTAAATCTCTGGTACATTTGGATAAAGTTATACTCTGGATGTCAAGTTATATCAGCTCAACCTATACTCAGATGACACTGCAACGTAAACATATTTTTGTGAAATGAAATGGGTGAATACAATGTGTATGAGTGTTTGTAAAGAATAAAGGGCTGGGGAATTCCCTGGCAGTCTAGTGGTTAGGACTCTGCTCTTCCACTGCAGGGGGCATGGGTGTTGGGGAACTAAAATCCTGCATGCTGCGCGGTGCGGCCACAAAAAAAGAAACAGTAAAAAAAAATTTTAAAGGGCTGCATTATTGTTAAAAATAATAATAATAATCAGGATATTAGTTAACTATCTCCCTTTTTTTCTTTCAGCTGTGGGCTACACATCATGACCCACAGATGGTCCGCCCAACTCTGGAGAGGACGCTCAGGGACCTCCAGCTAGATTATGTGGATCTTTACATCATTGAAATACCTATGGCTTTTAAGGTAAGTTCATATGCCTAAAGGTAAGGCCTCTGCTCTTTGGCAACCGCGGGCCAACGTCTATGTACGGGAAGCTCGTTCATTACTTAGCACCATAGAATATTATGATGTTTTGTTACCGTAAATCAGATAGTACTGACCTAACCCAACAAATGCCAAGAAAGATTATGTGTAGCCAACTCGGGCCTGGATCCCAAGTTTCTAGATTCATAATCCAATGCAGTGTCTGTTATATCATGTCTTTGCAGCTATAAACGCTCTCCATCAAACCAACAAGTAGTCTGCTAACTGTAGTCCACATTGCAGTTGTCCAGCATCCAGACACACCCTTCTTCCCATTCACACAGTCACGAAAACATCCCTGCACAACATAATGTAAAATAATAAATACAACTGAAAACCTACTCACACTCCACCCTCTCCAAAGGAAAATAACCCAAAGAGTCGTCAGATTTTTGAAGGCAGCTCCAAGGTCGGGACTTCTAGGTGATATCTATTCCTCTAACTCAAATGCACTCCTTCCTTGAACTTTCTCAATATACGGACTCAGCTTAACCACCACCAACATACCCGGTATACACTGCTGAAGAGCAGCAGCTGCTTTAAAGTTTCACTGAGGGAAGGAGAGATTGAAAAACAAAACTGACCACTTGTGCATGAGGTAAGCCAGATCCTGCTGGACAGGAGAGACAAGGACTCTCTGCCATTGCAGTGGCCAGAATTTCTTTACACAGCCAACCTGGCTGCCCCGTTCTCTTCTCTGGAAGCACCTTCCTTATTAACTCTCCTCTGTGGTCACATCCAAGATGTGACCTTAGCAATTATATATCCCCAAAACCTCATTTCACAGAAGAGAAAAGCAATGAACTACTTAGGATTAAAGTCCATCAGAATTGGAACCAGATCCTGGGTTGCCTGATGCCAACCTCATACGTGTTCCCTTATACTACACTACCTTCTGCCTTATCCTCACAAGCCTAATAATCGCAATGTCCTGTGGACTACAGTGATTTTTTTATTTCAGGCTCTTGGGATTTTGACCTTAGCCCTTCTCCTCCCTCAGCTAACTTCGATTCTTATTCAAATGGCAGAGTTCTAAGCTGAGTCTTACAGATTTGGAAAGAACCTGTATTTAAAAGTGAGAAAATGAAATTTACTCCTCTGTGGCTGACTAATGACTTGTAAAATCTTTTTAGAGAAGGTAAATAAAGGAATTCTATTTCTATTCTTAAATAAGATCAAGGCTCAAGGACACAGAGAAGGTAAATTTTTTTTAACAGTGAGAAATTACACAGTATAGTGACATTACCTCGCAAATGAACCTGTACTTCCTGTAATTGAGAAATCAGTCTTTGAAGCCAAAACATCACTTGCTTTTTGAATCTCATGATTCTTTTTAAAGAAAAACCTTTCTCGCTAAAATATTTTACCACTTTGTTATTTTTTAAATATAAAGCTAATAAGTAGACACAATTTCAGAACAACAAAAAGTACAAAAAATCATGATAAGATATTTTAAAAAGACGAAGTTATTGCTAAACAGGAATGAAGGTCAATAGCATGGGTTTTTAGAGGGTTGAGTTATTCTTCTAATAATGCCTTACAGTCAGGAGCAGGAAAGGAGGAAAAAGACAATGAGTTTATCCAAATGAAGGGATTAGTAAAGTAAGCACAGTGGAACATCATAGAAATATCTAACATGGGTTCAGACTTGGAGAGGACTTAATTAAAATTTGGGAGAGTAAAAACTATTAATAGTAAGAGTTCATAATGGAGATATAAAGCCATTTCAGGTCAGAAGTAAAATTAGGAAGTGCAAAAAGCAAGCAATATGGAGGGAGTCTGGAGTGGAAATAAGCCTCATAAGTGTTGAGAAGGTCAAAGAGCTTAGAAATCAGAGGTAACCAGGGTAGTTAATATGAATGATTACATGGCTTTGAGGAGAAAGGAGTCTTTTTCCTGCTTTCGGTGAAATAGAAGAAAATTGAGGTGAAATTATCTTTGCTAAAGAGGGCATGGAGAAATTGTTATCACCAGGTGAAAGATTAATTCAGGTGAGATGGCAAAGCGAAAAATTAGGGAAAATTTTTAAGAATATAATGGATTTTATCCAATTGCTTGATTTTCAACAACAAAAAATTCCTATTATCAAGGTCTACAAAGACTTCTATGCCACCAACCGAATCCAGTAGACACTTTTTCCTCATATTTTATTTGATCTCTTTCAGCACAGTTGACTACTGCCTCCTTCTTTAAACATTTTCATCTCATGGCTTCTATGATATCACCCTCTGGTGATTCTTTGACAGCTTCTTCTCTGCTAAACTCCAAATGTTTTGCCCAGTGCTGCTTTATCCTCAATATTCTTGTCTTACTGAGCCATACTCTCTCTATAGGTGATTTCATCCAGTTGCATGGATTGAATACCATTTTATATGCTGAGGACTCCCAAATTTTATCTGTACCCATGACCTCTCTCTGAGCCACTCTCTGAGACTTCTCTGTTCTCTTCAAATATCCACTTGACTGTCCAACAGTCATTTCAAACTCAAACTATCCGAAACAAAACTCTCAATTCCTTGTCCAACCTCAGGAAATGATTACCACCATCCACTCAAGGAGTCTAGAAATTATCTTTTATTTCTATCCCATTTCCAAGCCCATAAGAGATGGGTCCCATTTTTAAATATAGCAAAAAAGGAGAAATCTGAAAGACAATTTCCACACCATAGTCAATCTTCATTGGGAAAGTATCATCCAAAAGTTAGAGGAGGAGGTTTGACACTTACATAGTGTATGAGGTAGAAAAAAAGATGCTGAACTCCTGGAGGGCCCAAAAAGGGTAAGAAAAGAACCATGGGGCGATTAGCCAGACCTGAGAAGTAATGTGCTATGCATTTCCCTTATACTTAAGGAATATTGCATTCATCAACTATACTTAGCTGAAGAATTTCCTCCTCTCAGCCTTAGTGATGACCTCTGGTTTCTTAAAAGAGTAAGAAATTTGCTGTCCTCAACTTTGGCCAGGATAGACTATCCAAACACTGAGTCTAAAAGTCCTAATTCTCAACTTTTACTTTTCTTTAATGAGAAATTTTATCATTAAGAGAGAACTTCATGGCTTAAGAACAACAATAATCTGTCAATAAATGAAGAATAATGAATGCTGGGGTGAGAGGATGAGACTAATGTGTCATATATGTTGGACAAATGAATTTCTGGACAGTTCCACAGGGGGAGGGGAAAAAAAAAAAATATATATATATATATATATATATCTTGAATTGGTTTCCCAGGGCCCGGGTATATTGGAATACTGACAACTTAAATTCCATCATTTCAATCCCCAGATATAAATAAAGTTAACTACACTTTTTCGTTTTCTTTTTCTTTTTTAACAGCCTGGAGATGAATTCTATCCTAAAGATGAAAATGGCAAATGGTTATATCACAAGTCAAATCTGTGTGCCACTTGGGAGGTGAGTTCAAGTGGGCCTCTTATGTTAAAAGAGTACATTTTTAAATTGTTATCTGATTATTCCTATTCGATTTACGGAGAGTTGCAACCTTTACTCCCAATGAAAAGTAGTAGTCAGGTATTTCTAACCATGAGCAAAGATGTATAAAATCTCCACTTCTGAGTGCTGAAAAATGTTTGATTTTGCTTTGATGGAAGAGAAGAATGCCAAAGATAAGGAAGAGAGAAGTGTGGGAGGAAAAATAAAGTAAAGGAAATAAGTTCTACTGTAACAGTAAATAAAAATATATAAATGAGATAAACTCACAAATTTTTGGTTTCTCAAATTGAATTTTTAAAAATCAGTAATATGATGTCTAAAAGAAACAAATGTAAAATAATATATGAAAAACTGAAAAACAATTCTGGTTCCATTTCTGAGCAGGCTGCTGGCTCTTTCCCCAAGATTATAAGAGTGAGAAACTAGGGGAAAATAATGAGAAAACCCTTATGGATTTAGGTGGGAGGCAGGTACAGATATTTTGAACTGGTTTGTTTATGAGGTAATACGGAAGCTTTTACCTAGAGTGAAAGGCAACTCAGCAACCAGTAAGATAATATAGGAGAGGAACTATTGGAGTTATTTTTGCTCTTATTTCTCTCTTGCTATAGCCTTGGGACACACTCCACACATGTAGACACTTAGGACTCATGTTCAGACGTCTTCAGGAATCGAGTCAGAGCAGCACTGAAATCTTGCACTTGTGAGAAGCTGATAAAAACATGTCTCTGCCTGACCTCTGGCAGTTGTTTCCTGCCTCTCCCAATTCAAACTCCAAAGGCTGGAAATGATACTCTAATGATCATCTCATTCTAATAGACTTCCCCCTGTTTAGGTTACAGCTGAGGATCTGAACTGTGGCTTGTTTTGAGGGGTGAGGAGGCACTGACTGTGTTTTCTACTGTCTGGGGCTCTCCACCCGAAAGACCATACACTCAATCCTGACCTCATTGGAGCTGACTAGGGTTGGAGTCTGGCATTCTCCTCTAAGGGACTGCCTCACAGTGTACCTAATATCCTCAGGAGAAAATGAGCTCAGAGCCCAAAATAACAAGGCATTTATTTCACAAGGAAACAACATATCTCAATTACATATCGCAACAAAAACAGAACAGAGGACCAAGAACTTTTTAATTAGCCAATTAATATATTCAAGGAGATAAAAGAAAGATATCAGCAATATGAAATAAGAACAAGAAAACGTTTTTTTAAAACAAGAAAAAATAATGATTATGAAAAATAAAAACACAGTGCAGTAGATGGGATAAAAATAGAATGGGTACAGATAAGGAAAAGATGATCAGCTTAAAAGATCAGAATGAGTAAATCTCCCAATTGAAGAAGGAAAGGACAAGAAAAAATTTTAAATGTGAAATATGAAAAGCTAAGAGATGTAAATCATAAAATTAGAATTTCCAGTATCCACACAATAGAAGTCTTAGACAAAAAGAAAGAAAAGGAAGTAATAATTGAAGAAAAAACCCAGAGATATTGAAAAGGCATGAGTTACCAAAGAGGAAAGAGAAAGAAACCCATACCTGGATGCTTTATAGTGAAATTTCAGGATGTCAAACATAAAGAGGAAATGTTAAAACTTCCGGAGTATAGCAAACAAGCCAGTAAAGGAGACAAAAAGAAATAATAAAAAATAATCAGTCTAAGAGAAGGCAGGAAAATAAGAAAAAAGGGGAAATGAATAGATGGGAAAAACAGAAAATAAATAGCAATATGGGGGATTTAAATTCAGTGGTGTCAATAATCACAGTGTATGTAAAGAGCCTAAACAACCCAGTTAAAATGCAGAGGTTTTCAGAATGGATAAAAAGCAAAACCCCACTATATATTATATACAAGAAACTCATTTTAAATAATAAGACACACAACTAAGCCCATGCGCCACAACTACTGAGCCTGCGCTCTAGAGAGCACACGCCACAACTACTGAGCCTGCGTGCTGCAACTACTGAAACCCGCATACCTAGAGCCCGTGCTCAGCAACAAGAGAAAGCCACCGCAATGAGAAGCCTGCACACTGCAATGAAGAGTAGCCCCTGCTCACCACAACTAAAGAAAGCCTGCACACAACAACAAAGACCCAATGCAGCCAAAAATTTTTAAAATAATAAATAAATAATAAAATAAATAGGTTGAAAGTAAAAGGTTAAAAAAAAAGTAAAAGTCTAGAATAAGATGTACTAGGCTGACAGTAATCAAAAGAGAGCTGGAGTAACCATTTTAATATCAACAAAAATTTCAGAGCAAAGAGTGTTACCAGGGATAAGGAATTTTGTTTTATAATAATAAAGGGTTCAATCCTAAACATCTATGCACCTAAAAACAGAACTCCAAAATACATGAAGCAAAACTAAGAGAAGTGAAAAGAGAAAAAGAATAATCTAGTCAGAGATTTCAAAACCTCTCTCTCGATAATTGAGATAATAAGTAGACAGAAAGTCTATAGAATATAGGAACTTAAACATTATCAAACAACTTGACCTAATTGACATTTATAGAATACTTTTCCAAAATATAACAGAATGCTATTTTTCAAGTGCACATGGAATACTTCACAAAATAGTTCATTTTCTGAGACATAAAACGGATCTCAATACATTTAAAAATATTCTTAGGGCTTCCCTGGTGGCGCAGTGGTTGAGAGTCCACCTGCCTATGCAGGGGACACGGGTTCGTGCCCCGGTCCGGGAAGATCCCACATGCCGCGGGGCGGCTGGGCCCGTGAGCCATGGCCGCTGAGCCTGCGCGTCTGGAGCCTGTGCTCCGCAGCGGGAGAGGAAAAAAAAGGGAAAGGCCCGTGAAAAAAAAAAAAAAAAAAAAAAAAAAAAAAGATATTCTTCATGCAAAGTAGGCTGTCTGATGACATTGGAATTAAATTTGAGTCAATAACAAAAATAGATCTGAAAAAAATATATATATATATCTGAAAAATCATCATATATTTGGAAACTAAGAAGATACGTGTAAATAACCCGTAAGATAAAGAAAAAATAACAAAATCTGAATCTATATGTACTCTATATGCTAGCAACACACAATTGGAAATGCAATTTTTTAAAAACAATGTTAAATATTTAGAGATAAATTTAACAAAATCTATGCAAGACATATAGTTAAAACTACAATATTTTACTGAGAGGATTTTTTGTTAATTTGACCAAATAGAGAGCTGTATCATGTTCTTTGATGGAAAGATTGAATACAGATAATTTAATTCTCCCCTAATTCATGGATAGATTCAGTGCAATCCCAATGACTATCCCAAAGGAAATTGAAAAGCTGATTCTAAAATGTATAGGGAAGTGCAAAAACCATAATGATAAAGATTTAATTTACTAAGAAGATATATCAGTCTTAAACACATATGTACCAAATAAAATATCTTCAATATATATAAAGCAAAAATTGATAGAATACAGAAAGACACTGGTAAATCCACTGTTACAGTGGGAGATTTCTGATATATTTCTCTAAATTATTGAAAAGCCAGGAAAAGCTAGACCTAATCTTCTATATAATGTGTGTGTATGTGAGAGAGAGAAACAAGAAGGATCTGTATCCAAAAATAGGAGAATATACATTTTCCACACATACCAGACACATAAAATTTTTCAGGTACTATACCATAAAGAAAACCTCAACAAATTTTAAGAAATAAGATCATTATTATCATGCTGGTATACATTATGAAAATACAAGGGGAAGATATGATATACAACATTTCCCCAAAATCATTCAATTACAGAATTCCTGCCTATCTCCTCCACTTTTCTTTAGTTCACAGAATGCCTATTAATATACCCAGGGACTTTACTTTTTAAAGAATGCACAGTCACCTTTATAAATGTTTATTCTTGCTTGTGTTGAGGTTTCTTTCTTGACCCATTGGCTCTTACCCTACAGGCTTTAGAAGCTTGCAAAGATGCTGGCTTGGTGAAATCCCTCGGTGTATCCAATTTTAACCGTAGGCAGCTGGAGCTTATTCTGAACAAACCAGGACTTAAGCATAAGCCAGTCAGCAACCAGGTACAGCTTGACAAGGGGAGGGAGGGGAGGGGGGGTGTGGGGATTGGGGAATGTGGGAGGATCCATTACTCAACAGAAAGGATCCTGGACTAGGAGTCAGGAAGTCTTGTGGTCACTTTACGTATATCTCATCATTAGACCGTGGGCAAGTCAATTTATGTCTCTTAAGAAAAAAGATTTGAAAGTTCAAATCCAAAAAGTAACCCAAACTTTTTCTGAAGAAAAATAATAATGTAGGGGAACAAAACCTACCAGACATTGACACACAGAGTATTTAAAATAATGTAAGATTAGCACAAGAACCAACATACAAATAAATAGAAAATAAGAGATACCTTAGAAACGGTCTCAAATAAAATAAAAACTTAATGTAAAATAAAATAGCACAAACTAATGACAAAGGAATTGATTTTTCAGTAAATAGTGTGGGGAAAATTGATAGTTATATAGTAACAAATATAGATCTTTGCCTCATGTTATACTCCAAAGTGTCCCTTTGATCAGGCATTAAAGAAGAAACAAGAAATTATTTGTGAATACTACAAAAGAATTTTAGTTTTCTGGAGCTATGGATAGAAAGGGAAGCCATGGGAAAATTATAAAGAAAACCAATACATGTAATAGTGTAAAAATGTTAAACACTAAAAATATTAGAAACAAAGAGCAAACAAAATTAGATGATTATATCTAAAAATATAACAGAAAAAGGGGATCATGTCCTTACGAATTAAAAGCCTAATAAAAATCAATGAGAAAAATACTAAGCCTCAAAAGAAATGAACAGAAAGTCACAGAAGACAGATTGCAAGACTGATAAACATATGAAAAATATTTAGCTGCTCTAGTAATTATGGAAATTTAAATTTAAGTGTAATTTTGTATTGTGTATCAAATTAGCAAAGTTTCTGTTTTATTTTTTAATATAGTGTTCCATGTAAGCAAGTGATGGAGTGCTGGCAAATGCAAATTGGTTCAACCTTCCTGAAAAGCAATTTTGCAATAAGTAGCAAGAGCCTTAAAAAGTGTTCAGTTTTCGATTTCTAGGAATCCATCCTTGTGGAAAAAAATCAGAACACCCATATGTGTGTTTGTCACAGCACTTTATGTGTGTGTTTGTCGCAGCACTGTTTATCATGGCAAAAAAAAAAAAAAAAAACACCAAAAAGGAAACAACATAAATATGAAAAATTCAGGGAATGTTTACATAAACTTTAAAACATTTATAATATGTGAAATCTTAACAAAAAATGTTCTTGAATCACTCTTGAGGAAAAGAGAAATGGCCACGATATTAAATGGAAAGACCAGGATACAAAACATAATATAGTATGAAGGCAATTATATTATTTAAAAAGTGCAAATATTGGAAAGAAATATGTCAAAATGCTAACCGTGGCTATCTCTGGCTGTGAATTTTACAAGTAAATTCTGTTTTCTTCTTTATGCTTTTCTGTATTTCAAGTCTTCTGCAGTGAGCATATATTACTCTTGTAATCACAACAAAATATTATTGTTAAATGGGGATATGACATCCTCTTCCCCCTACTTCATAAAACATTAAGAAGCTGCACTAAAAAATGCTCTTGGAACTGGTAAATATTCACAAACTTGGATTATGGTGGACTTGTTTGTTGAATTCATTGTTATTAGAAACTCAAAAGGATTCATAACAGAAAAAATGAATTACCTACATCATGACAGTAGCCCACAGCTAAATAGAAGTGTTGCCATATTTAGAAGTACCACTTCCGAACTGATACCGCAGCTAGCGCTATATCATACGCTCTCAGGAACAGAGAGCAACAACCTTTGCCTTCCTCATTGATCTCAATCCATCCCTTTATTCCTAACCAATCCCCTACCCAGCATATCCTTCACATCTCCTTCCTGCACCCCTAAGAACAATATTTTGTTCTAAAAATGTTGAAGTGACAAGCAGCTTTCTTCTTACAAATGCACAGAGACAGATGGTGATTTTCGACCTGAGAATGAAAAATAGTGAAAATTCGACAGTGTGTTTCCTCATGCCAAGGAGGAAATACCCTCATCTGTTGGCACAAGAATGTCGATCAGCTTCACAAATATACCCTGAAAGAGAATCAAGGCTTGTTGGAAGATCATAGCCTGAACCTATTCATGTGTCCTGTCGTGTCTGAAAGCAGAATATGTCAAAACTCTAGAGCTGGCAAGGTCAAAGTGCAGGTCTCCCAGCCACCAGCCATGACCCTATGCCCTGGTAGGACCATCTCTACTCCAGAGATACAAAATGAGCAGCTTTCAACCCAGGAATACGGTGAGCATATTTTGGGCATTAGACAGAGTGGACACATTTCATGTGCAAGGGATACATACCTGAAGGCTTGCCTGATTCAAAATTCACGTATTTCAAAACTAATTTTCCCATTAGACTAAATCTAATGTAAAATTTGCAAAATTTTATATTTTTCATTGACTTCGTGAACAAATTGACATAGAATATAACCTCACTCTATACTCGTTCTCAGAGCTTGAGCAATCCAAGATTCCTTAGTACTCCCTATGATGTCTGTCTGAAGCAATGTCCCTCCAGGCTCCGCCCCTGGCTTAGACTGTCTGAAAGCCTTCCTAGCGTCATACAGTGCTCTCCCAGCCCAGTTCAAAGGGGACTGTGGATCTATCTCAAGCCATTTAATCTCATACAAAGTTCCAACACCTAACTCTAGGAACGAAGGAAAGAAGGGAGGTAAGGAGGGACGGAGGGAAGGAAAGAAGAAGGGAAGGAGTAAGGAAACTTTCCACATTCTTCAGTTTTTCCTGATCCTATTCACCATGCCTAACTCACAGGTGTCCTGACACAGAAATTAGTAAATAGTTGTTGAGTGACTTCATTAATGAAATGAAAATTCAATGCAGTTTTTCATGGAAAGACAGAAGAGGTTGGGTTAATTAATGAAAGGACTTTTGCTATTTTCCTTAATGGATTCTGTCCCGCTTCTTAACTTCACCCTGTGAGATTTTGATATCTAAAACTACAGCATTACCAAAGGGTGTTGTAAAACCCCGGACACACCAAGACGCTGACAACTTACATCAGTTTTACATAGCAAACAAGGAAAAGTAAATACTGCAGCTCCACTGGCTCATTCACAAAGGGCTCTAAGCAGTCCCTAGCAAAGAAGGAAGGCAAGTGTGCTTAGGTACCCTTCTCCTTAGAAATAAGGATGACATCAAGGCCCTGCAACATCAGGAACCATCACCACCCTCTACCTTAAACTGAGCATCCGGTCCCAGCCAGAAATGACCAGCTGTACCCCATACGAAGCCCAGCCTACAACAGTCTGCAGCATCAAGAGTGATGTTTCCTAAGATTCTGGCTTCGTCCTCGCTGTATAACTCTTGTTTTCACTCATTCAACAAATGGTCATCAAGCACCTGCCTTATGCCAGGCACTGTGCTAGGTTCTAGGCATGCAAAAGTGACCAAAGACAGATATAGTCCTTGCTCTCGTGGATCATACATTAATGAAGTCAGGAAAGTTATATGTAATTGGAAACTGAGACAGATGCTCTGAAGAGAAGGAATGTGGCTCTCTGAGGTCATATGCACTTGGGTCATGTTAGCCTACCCACTCCCACCCCCACCCTCACCTCCATCCCTAGAATTTCCTTCACTGAGTGGTCCTTTAGCCATATGCCCTCAAGTTTTTAATCAAAAAACTATCTATGCAAAGATCTTTGTTATATTACATATTATATTATATATTTGAGTTTATATTACATTAACTCAAATTTTTGTTGAGTATGGGTTTCTAGTATGTTGCCCAATGCAACTTTCTGTAAACTCCCGAATTTGTTCACAGAATGGATATTCACATACCTGTTTGTTTTATTTTTTAATTGTATTAGCCCTATTATGTATACATTTTGTTTTATATATATATATATATATACACACACACACAAATACACACACATATATATGTATATAGGTAAATACACATGCTATATACACATGTGCATACACATATTTAGGCCAGAGACCATAACAGCACTCCAGCTGATTAGAAAGGAGTCCCTGTGGGGTAAATTAAATGTGTTTGGCGCAAGCAGGCAGGCATGAAAGTAAGGAATTCACACTTAGTCTTTAAGCGATGACGTGACATGATAAAAAAAAAAAAATTGTTTGAAAAGATTAGTGTACCAATAAGATAGAAAATGAGAAAGAGACCAAAGGGGGAGAGTAATGCTAGGAGTGGGAGAGGGTAAGGGAAAGAAATACAGTCCACCCTCCGTATCCATGGATGCAGAACCCGCAAATATAGACTGTATATATAGACTGTACTACACCATTTCATAGAATGGACTTGAGCATTTTGGTGTTTGCTGGGGTGGGGGTGTGTGTCTTGGAACCAATCCTACGTGAATACCTAGGGACTACTGTACTATGGACACTGTGTGTCACTTTTTAGAATTAAGAAATGTTCCCAAGTGGGGCAGAAAACAAAAATGTCTTAGGGAAAAGGAGGGATCAAGATTATGAGGGGGCAGGGGAAAAAGAAGAAATGGGAGAAACTGACAAGGGGGAAAAAGAAAGTCTATCAAATTAGAAAAAGGAAAGAAGACCCACCTCTAAGAGTTCCAGTTTACCTTTCCACTTCATCAATAGCATTTTCTTGTGCCTTCTAGAAATGTAACTTGTCAAGTATTTAATACTTTAGATAGTGAAAATAATAATTATATACTTAAAATATTTTAATTAAGACTTGGTTGATTTTAATTAAAAAGAAAGCAAACACGTAGGTCAAAAACTACCATAGTGTTTAAGAAGAAACTTTGAGAAGAACTTTTGTTGACACATGAGTTTTTAGTGCAGGAATCCTGTCAGTAAGATACAGAAAATGAAACTAGGCCTACACTTGGGGTAAAGAACTCTCCACCAAGAAGACAAAATTCATCTGTAAATTTAGTTTTATACACACTCTACCTCTTGTGAAAATATTCTTAGATGTTTGATAGTGAGGGACAGAGGGCTTCTGCAACATGTCACTTCTATTTACCAAGACTGTAATGTGAACCTTGAGACTGCGTGTTTGTTATGGAAAATTGTATTTGCTAGAATATTTACTATAAATAATTGAATCTTCACTTAAAGTTTTAAACTGATAGCTGTAAAAATTGAATTTGTCCCCCAATTATTTTAGGATTAACCCACAGATGGTGACCTCACTAACCTTGTTTTAATGCATCTCACCGATATATAAACAATGTAAACTTCCTTGTTGGGAAAAATATTTAAGATTTGCCTTGCTATCCAGAATACTTTTCAATCGATTTTATTGAAGAACTTTTTACAAACTATATAAAATTGCATTCATCCAAAAGCCCTTAATTTTGTGCTCTGCTCTCCAATGCAACCACATAGGTTGAATGCCATCCATATTTCACCCAGCCAAAACTCTTGAAATTTTGCCAACAACATGACATTGTCATTATTGCATACAGCCCTTTGGGGACCTCTAGGAATCCATCCTGGTAAGTAATGCTGTCTGTCTCCTCAGGAAGTATATTTCCTTGGTGTAGAGTATGAGGCTAATGTAAATTACTTGACTGAAATGACTCTATTCAGCTGTGTGATCTTAAGGAAGTAATTTCTTCAAGTCATTCTCCACATATGCAAATTAGAGCTAACACAACCTTCCTCACTGAGGTGTTGTAATAATTGATTAGACTCTACCTGTGGAAGTGCCTACCAGTACCTTATTATTTGACAAAGAGTCTCTATGGCCATATTCCGAAATTTTTGAATGTTTTAAATCTCTGTATTCAGTGGCAACACTTCTACTGTGATGCATTCCACAGACTTAAGTAGAAATTTTTCTACTCTAAGATGATTCCAAGAGTTGTGCCTTTGTTTCTTCTACTTCAGTCTTCTTGCCTTCCCCTGTGTGCCTACTTCCAACCCCATTCTCTCTGTAAGATCCATCAAAGCAATATTATTTACCGTCTGGAAGAGGCAGCTCTGTGAATCTGCCTGTCTTGATCTTCCCATACTAAGAGCAAGTCTTCTGAATACTCTGCACTCAGAGAAGTTGGTTACAGGTGACCTGAAGTGTTCTGGATAGGTTACCAGGTGAATGGGGGTCAGAGGAGGAGGGTAACTGGTAAACCACTGGTTCTCATTACTCGGACTAAATATGATGCATGTTTCGATTTTTTTTTTTAAAGGGTGAATGTGTCTTCCCCACCTTTGTTAAAGGATGCACTTCTAAACTCACTGGGGAAAAAATACAATAAGACAGCAGCTCAAGTTGTTTTGCGTTTCAACATCCAGCGAGGAGTGGTTGTCATTCCTAAAAGCTTTAACCCTGAAAGGATCAAAGAAAACTTTCAAGTAAGAGAACTGCTTCTGGAAATGTAAAAAGTAGGGTATTTTTTTTTTAGAGATAATTTTGTGTTCAGATTAATAAGAAAGTTGCAATGCCTTCATATGTTATTTTATACCTGCTCCCCGACCCCCTCCGCCCATACCTGGATTTAATTTTAGCTGAATTTGAGACAATTCCTAGTAATTCAGGGATTTCTTTGCTGCTTGTAGGCTATCTAGCTCCTCTATTTCTTCTGTTTCCTTACCTATTGACTCTGGACACTACCTACTCCCTTCCCCACTAGCACAGCAGCAATAGAAGGTATAAAATTGGAAATTCATAACAGTCAACTTTCCACCTTCTTAATGGCTCTGGAAAAAGTTGGGGACAAATTTGGAAATTATTGAAGAGGATCATTTAGACTTCATAAATGCCAACCCCCTTTATTTCCTCTATAAGTAATCTGTAATCAGCATTATAAATTATAGGTGAGAAAAGAGGCCACTAGACAATGGAGTGATTAGTTTACTGTGCTACTTCCAAAGAATAAACTGCTAGGTAAATGCAGCCATAGAAAAGTACCATGTAAAGTTAATCAGTTACCCATCAGTTAATAATTTAAATTTCAAAAGTAAGTTGTTTTTTGTCTTACTCATAATTAAAGATAAAAATGAGATAGTATTTATCCCCTCAGATAGGAAAATAATCAGAATGTTAACAGTGTGTGGGAAAACAGGCAGTTTCATATAATACTATTAGAAACATAAATTGATGTAAGATTTGGAGAAGGATGTCATTTTTCCAGATCCATCAAAATTCAAACATACATGTCCATTGACCCAACAATCTTTTTCCCATAGATGTATTTGCATATTCATGCGCACATATACAGATGTTTATTACAGCATACTTTATCAGCTAAAAAAAACTGGAAACAATTTTCAATAGGATATTATAAAACAAATTATGATATATTTGTACAATGAAACAGTATATAGGCATTTTTATTTATTTTTCTTTTTTAACAGAACTCTACTGAGGTGTAATTGAAATGCAATGAACTGAACATAAAGTATAAAATTGGAAAAGTTTTTTTGGAAAAGTTTTGACACATGTACGCACCCATGAAACCATCACCACAATCAAGATAATGAACATACCCAGCACCTCCAATAGTCTCTTCATGCCCTTTTATAATCTATCCCTCCTGGTCCCCAATCCCAAGCAAGCACTGATTTTCTTTCTATCCCTATAGGCTAGTTTGCATTTCCTAGAATTTCAAATGAATGAATTCACACAGTATGTGTACTTTTATATCCATTTTTAAATAATAAAGTGAAAATATAAGTACTGACATGGGAAGACATCCATGATATTAGACAATTATCTTCAGAGCTTTTTTGCTACCACATGAAGGAATGAAATTCAAATTTACCAAAGAAAAAGAGACATAATTTATTGGCTCTCATAACTGGAAAGTCCCTGGGTAGGTCAGACATGACTGGACACAGGTATTCTAATGATTTATAAAAAGATTGAGTGCTCCCCACCCCCTTTCTCCACATGGTGGCACACACAGATTAATATGGGTTAATCTGTTACCCACATTTAGTAAAGATGATCACAGATAAAGGCTTCTGTCTCTGTCAATCCCTGCTTGTCCTTTTATGGGTCATTGGCTACTCCCATAATAATCACTGTATCTAATGAAAAAGATACCTTGATTGGTCCCCTGGGCTACATCCCTATTCTTGTGCTGAAGGAGGTGAGGTCATGTGACAAATAGTCCTACTAGGTGCGGGAAGGTGTTAAAGAAAAAGGAAGCTTGTAAGGATTTCTTTTATAAGTGACTGGTTCATTCATGACTGTTCTTATGTTATAATAAATTTCCTTCTACAATCTCATAACTCCAATTCTTGGATAATTAATAATCAAAGGAAAGAATGCTCTGAAAAGACCACTTGGAAACAATCCTTGGGGGAATGACTTAATAAATCGTATTACATCTATACTACGGATATAGTTGTTAAATAAATAAAGTCAGTCTATATATTTTGACAGAAAAGATCACCAAGACATATTATGTGAATGAGATAAAGTTGCAGAATAATAGAAATATGATACAATTGCATTTTGCTGTTGCTGTGTTGAATGTTTGGAAGGAATCTGTGGGAAGGGGAATAGGACTGGGGTGGTGGGTATCAAGAGGCACTTTTGTTTTTTTTACTCCATACATGTCCATGTATTTCTGTAGTGTTTCATTTCCTTACAAAAAGCACATATTCATGTATTACTTTTACAATTAAAATTTATTCATGTAGGGCTTCCCTGGTGGCGCAGTGGTTGAGAGTCCGCCTGCCGATGCAGGGGACACGGGTTCGTGCCCCGGTCTGGAAAGATCCCACGTGCTGCGGAGCGGCTGGGCCCGTGAGCCATGGCCACTGAGCCTGCGCGTCTGGAGCCTGTGCTCCGCAACGGGAGAGGCCACAGCAGTGAGAGGCCTGCGTACCGCAAAAAAAAAAAAAATTTATTCATGTAAATTACTAAATTAAAAGTTAAGGGATAGAAAGATAAAATAATAAGAGAAATTATAAACAAACCAATTGTTAAAAATATAAATAAGCTAAAATAAACTATTAAAATGTTCATAAAGGACAATTATAAAACCAAGGTACAAACTGTACAAGCTAAAAAAAAAACAATGAAAAAGTAATTAGAATTAAAAGGTAGATAAAGAGACATTAAAAATGACAAGAGAAAGGATTAATATGATGAACCAAAGCAAATTAAAAGTTAGAAAAAAATACATAAGCAAATTTACAGACTAGGGAATATTGTTAAAAAAAAAAAAAAGTGCATGAAGGCCATAGTCCAGAATCAAAAGTTCAGCATCTTATACCAAAATAATAAGAATTCTTCACTTTTGATTTTTAGATGTTCTGAATGCGTATTGTTTCAGAACATTTGAAATTTCTTGCAAGATGTCCCCAGCAGGATTGTCTTAAAGACAAAGGGCAGAAAGAATTCCACCTCCACATGGGTGGGGTGGCCCCCCCGCACTAGCCCAACTCCTCTAAGACATTTGCAGAGATGTTCATAAACCTTTGAAGGGCTCCCACTGCTGGCCTCACTCCCTGATCCCAAGCTTGACCCATCTTCTACTATTATAAATGTCTGTTTTTTTGTTTCTGTTATTTCAGATCTTTGACTTTTCTCTCACTGAAGAAGAAATGAAGGACATTGAAGACCTGAATAAAAATGTCCGCTTCGTGGAAATGCTCATGTGAGTTCTGGGGGATCATTAATCAGGTTCTGTGCAGTGATGTTGGATTGTCAAGCGTCAACCAACAGGCTCTCATGAATCGGGACCATGTCCATGGAAGGCACAAGGGTAAACGCCAGTGGGCAGCATGTTCTGAATTAGGAACTTCCTACAAACCTGCATTTTTGTTTAAAAGAATATTTCTGACGTTTATGACATTCCCATTGGTTAGGTTAAGACATCACAGGCAAAAAACATTGAGGAGAATTAAATCACAGTTTTCGTTATGTTAATACAACAGCAGCACAGATATGCAAACAACATACTTATTTCTTCCTTAGAAATCAAAGTGGGCACAAATTAGAGCAAAGCTGTCAACAAGAACAATTCCTGGGAGAGAGGCATTAGAGTGCAGTAGAAAGAGCACCAGGTTGAGTTTTAGACAAATGTTTGCCTATAAGATTTGGAGCTTCTGGCTTCACCTATTGTCTGACTTCCCACAAGCAAAATTCCTTGGAAGTGTTGCCAAATTTAACTATCAACGGAAGTAACCCTTTATTCTCTGAATATTACAGAGCCTTAAAAATAAAAAAAAAGAATATAGTTCATGTATATATACACACATATATATTTGTATACATACATACCCACATTTTTTCTTCTTAATCATTCTTCATTAATATTTCCAGTTCTTGAAATCACCTGGATAGTATTCTTCTTTTTACAATCTTCTCTTTAAGTGTGCATTTAGAAAATGCTCGTTAAGATGGTTTGTATAGTTTGGGCCCTTATCTTATTGGTCCCACTATTTTTCATGAGTCAGAAAGTGCAGACTGTGCTAACACTGAATTTCTGGATCAATTTCTGAATTAATAAACAGCTTTCTAATGTGAATTTTCCAGGGGAAAAACTATTTGAAATCAAGAAGCACCTCCTAGCCTCAAGAACATAAAAGTAAACACAAACTAACCCTTACACGTTAATTAACAGCTCTTGAAGATAAACTGTTTCTATTGAATAAATATCATTAAATTAAAAATAGTAAGAGATAGCCAATCCTCCAATATGCTGTTTTTGTTTTTTTTTTAAAGTTGGTTAGTGACATTATTTGGTTTGACATTTTATTTATTTCTTTATTTATTTATGGCTGTGTTGGGTTCTCGTTGCTGCACGCGGGCTTCCTCTAGTTGCGGTGAGCAGAGGCTACTCTTCGTTGCGGTGCGTGGGCTTCTCATTGCAGTGGCTTATCTTGTTGCGGAGCACGGGCTCTAGGCGCACGGACTTCAGTAGTGTGGCACGCGGGCTCAGAAATTGTGGCTCACAGGCTCTAGAGCACAGGCTCAGTAGTTGTGGGACACAGGCTTAGTTGCTCCATGGTATGTGAGATCTTCCCGGACCAGGGCTCCAACCCATCTCCCCTGCATTGGCAGGCGGATTCTCAACCACTGCATCACCAGGGAAGCCCGACCTTTGACATTTTTAATACCTAATTCTAGCAACACTGGGAAAATAACTCATCACATCTGGAAATAACTAGAAAAATCAGCAAGGAGAAACAAAGATTAGGCCCCATTGATCAAAAAAATGTATCATTTAGGGATGCTGGGCCAAGGTTCTGCTGCTTTTCATCTGGCTGATCCTTGATATTTGACAGCCTTCTCTGGTTTTGTTTTATATTTTAATTTAAAGCTCAGAGAACTAAATCTTAGGTGTGCTTCAGTACAGGCACACCCACACTCCGGTCCTTTTATAGACTGTTTCACCATTTTTATTTAAGAGGCAGCGTCATCATTATCATCACTGTCATCGTCATTATGGAAACTTACTTTGCTGGTCATCAACTTTCTAAATCTCAGACTTTCAGCTCTCAGGAGGCCTAGTGATAGGGGCAAGTAAAAACTCTGAGAAGAGACCGACACTGATTCATGATAGAGTTTTTTTGTTTGTTTGTTTGTTTTTGCGGTACGCGGGCCTCTCACTGTTGTGGCCTCTCCCGTTGCGGAGCACAGGCTCCAGACGCGCAGGCTCAGCGGCCATGGCTCACGGGCCCAGCCGCTCCGCGGCATGTGGGATCTTCCCGGACCGGGGCACGAACCCGTGTCCCCTGCATCGGCAGGCGGACTCTCAACCACTGCGCCACCAGGGAAGCCCCATAATAGAGTTTTGAAGAGCAATGCTTATGTGGTTTATTGAAATGGGAGGCAGTTTATTTCAAGAGAGCAGGAGGAAGAAGTTGGGACAAAGTGTGTAAGTAGGCAGGTATTGCTCACCTCCTGTGCTTTTGTTTTAAGAAAATGTTAATGTGGAGACAACTAGCCTTCTCCCCCCAATCCCCCCACCCCACACTTACACCCAGGGTGCTATCTGGGGCTTCAGTAAAAGGTGCTGGCTTAAGGGGAAACGGGGGAGGAGAATAGGCACGAAACAGAAATGGAATGAGTAAGAGAAAGAGGGAATGGCTGGTGAAGTTACCAAAGAATGCTAGTAACACATACAGCCATGCAGCATTTGAAGTGAACTTTTTCCCTTTGGGGGAATTGTTTTGGCAGGTGGTGTGACCATCCTGAATACCCATTTCATGATGAATACTGACTTCAGAGAGCTCTGCAACAGATATTTTCCCTCTATATGTGCCAGGACTTTGGGCTGGGTGGTTCCTCCAGCTATGGAAATCAAAGGAGTTTACTATCCTCAGATGAAATGGTGATGGAGACACACTTAACTTTTGTGTAGTGTAAGTGACTTTGACTTAGCTATGTGGGGGGAAAAATAGGTTTAAATCTGTTGAAATAACTTGGAAATTATCAGCTAATATTTTATTAAATCAATGTCTTCTGGGTTTCAGAAAGAGAAATATTAGGCTTTAGAAAAGACTTCAAAGGCAACATATGAAGATAAATAACACATGAATTCGGATACTGCTGCCATGGGTAGTCTGAGTTCTTTAGCAGTTAACAGGGCAACAGCAAGGATGGAGAGCTGGACCATGCCAGTGTGCTGGCAGTGGTCTTGATGGTTTGGACCATTGACTGTAATACAGACACAGCCAAGGTAAGATCCACACATGCATTATTAACAGGGAAGTGATTTGCTTCACCTTGAGTAGAGAGAGAGGGCTAAGTATAGAAAAGTCTTACTATAGAGCTAATTAAACACCACAGCGGTCAACAAAGCCATACTGATTTGATTGTTGTTTGTTTCCATCCAATGTGTGTTCGTGTAGCTTTTATCCAGCTTGAAAGATGGATAATTGCTTGTTTTCTCTTGCATGCTTTAAAGGGCCTGAGCTTCAGTAAGCTAGTGATCTATGCTAACACTGCCTGCAACTCCTGCCCCCATTCATTATATGACCACCATTATGCAAAGTGGCTTGAGACAACCTGCATACCCTGTATTGTAAAATAGCCCACAGACCATTATTTCAAAAGAAGACATATAAAAAGGAAGCTTTAGGAAACATATTGAAAGAAGAGGTTTTATAGAATCATTAGACTTAAGACTTTGAAAGTTATTGGGATAACTGAATTTTGAGAAAGTAGCAAGTTCAAAAGAACACTGATAATTTTACTATATGTAAATTTTTTAAGTGAATAAAATGATTATTAGAATTCCATAGTAGAGATGTACCTATTTTCAATCCAGCCAGAGCAGTATATTTTATTCATTCATATTAAGTCACTCTCACAGGGCAAGAGAGCGCTTCAAAACTTCAAAACATCAAAACAAACTTATGTTTGTCCAAGATCAATTGCTTATAATCTTCCATGATCTGAAAACGTACATTTCTGAGAAATTATCATTTTAAAAAATTGATCTCTACTTATTGTTTCCAATAATTCTAATATGAATACTTACAATGCTATTCTCTGGAAAATATCTCATTCACAAAAATAATAAAAATGATGATTTATTCTACCACATGAATCTCCATTTTGTTGCTTGGGGTGGGGGGAATCATCTGAATTCATTTAAATTAGAGACCTTTGGTTGAATTCCTACTGTACATTTAGCACTGGGAAGATAGGGAAGATAGGAAGAAAAGGGAGTACTGTAATGAAAGAACAGAAACTCAAGTCCTGACCTCTACTGTCAAAACGCTTCAAAATATTTCAGGGGGCTGGTGTGGAAGAAGGACCACACCTATCAAACCATTTTTTAAAGACAGGCATTGGAAAAGAGTCCCACTATTTGTCAGGGGAAATGTATACATGTATTTCTAAAGATTGGAAGAGGGGAATTCTGTCTTAGTCTTAACAGAGATGGAGGAAAAAGAGTTGGAGACAGAAAACAGAGGTCAGGAAAGAGTGATGGTCTGCATGAGTTTCTGCATGTCACTTCTCCCTTCACTCTCATTCCTCTCAAGCTTCCCAACTATTTTGGGATAAATTGTATGCCCCCAAAATTCATATGTTGAAGTACTAGCCCGTAGTACCTCAGAACATGACCTTATTTGGAAATAGGGTCATTGCATATGCAATTAGGTAAGATGAAGTCATATTGGAGTATGGTAGACACTAATCCAGTATGATTGGTATCCTTATAAAAAGGGGAAACTTGGACACAGGCAACACACAGGGAGAGCACCATGTGCAGATAGAGGCAGAGGTCAGGGTGACGCTTTTACAAAGATGTCCAGCAAACCACCAGAAGCTAGGTGAGAGGCATGGACCAGATTCTCCTCATAGCCCTCAGAAGGTACCAACCCTGCCAACACCTTTATCTCGGACTTGTGGTCTCTAGAACTGTGAGACAATAAATTTCTGTTATGTAAGTGGCCAGTTTGTGGCACTTTGTTCAAGCAGCCCTAGCAAGCAAATATACCATCTCTCAGTCAAGATTTCCAGTCTCTCAAGCTGACACCAGCAGTAAAAATGGCCTTACTTAGTCAATGCTTTACTGAGCTCAGGTATTGATGACCAATATTTTTGACCTTCTTGGGGACTTTTGCAACCCCAAAGATGTTTGTTAACCCAAATCAATCTCTTTCCTAATCAGAGGCCTCTAATGGAATATGGAGTAAGATACATCAGTAGTTACATAACCTGCCTGGAAAAGGAGAGGAGGCCAACAGCGTACCCACTGATCCATAAAAACACATGGACCAGAAGAGCAAGGACTTTCTGCCCCAGCCCGCAGAATGTTTTTTGTTTGCCCATCACTGACTATTCTCCTTGGAAGACCTCCCTCAGGCACTGTCTTCCATAATGACACAGAGATTATTGGAAGAGGCCACAAGAGGCACATAGGCACCAATCCCAAGTCTGCAGGCTTCAACACTGCGACGTGCTGCACACTTCATGACCACAGTTATGGAAATGTAAAAAGTTGAGGTAAATTATATTTCCCAGGCTTGGTATTTCTCTGGAACTCCCTTAAAATTTCAAGCTTTCACTGGTGACTTCAATTTCTGACCATTCCAAACTAGTAACTAAATCATGATATCTTGTGGAGCCCTGGTCCTTGCATGTGAACCCTCCCGGAATCTGAACTGTACCCACCATGTTTCTACCTCCAGATACCAAATCCCCAAGTTCTCACTTCTTTTGATGGGGGCAAGGGGTGAGGAGGGATAGGATAATCTCCTCTGGGCACTGGTATTTTAGCTAGATTGAGAGCTGAGATGCAGAATATGGTGGGAGGTATGGTGGGAGTAGCAGTGGTCTTGACAAAAGTACATGGACTTTTCAGGTCCCCCCCTTAAATCTGTCCATTGGTAAATCTTCCTACAAAGACTATGTGGCATCCTTAGGAGCATGAGGGCCCCTTTAATTCTGTCTTGGGAGTTGTCAGGAAGAGATAAAATTGCCAAAGGACAATTTGGAACTAGGTAGCCCTCACTTTATGTCCTGCTGAAGTTGGTCACATGTTGGTCAGAGAGGAGCAGCTAGTGGAAATGATTGAACATATGATTTTAAACTGTGTTGTGTGTGTGTGTGTGTTGCTATTTGATATGTACTATTGAGCATTTTTTATTGACATTCGTATATAAGACTATTGTGTAGTTTTGTGTATACTCTTTAATTAATTTCTATTATCAAATTGTGCTCCTTTCATTGTTAAAAGGAGAAAGTGAGATTTTCTTTCACACTCTCCACTCTAGAACAAATTAAATGATTTATTTCCTAAAGTATTGGTGGAATTCACCTGAGAATTGCCTCTCTGTCAATAGAGAGCCTGTACATTTTCTATTTCATCTCAAATCAATTTTGCAAATTTATCTTCTTCTATAATTTATCAATGTCACGTATTTAGCATATAGAGGTACATTTGTTCATTTAGTCAACAAGATTTTTGTGTGCCACTATGGTAGGCTCTATCCTCGGCAGTTGGGATATTTCAGTAAACAAAAGTCCCTGAGCTCTCATACACGCCTGTACTCTTCCAATTCCTTTAATTTTCCTAAACATGTGGTCACCTCCCTCTTGCAATTCTTCTTTTGTATGTCTATGGTCTTGTTTTGTAATTAATGGTTTATCAAGTTATTTTTTATTTTTCCTGGATTTCATTTAGACCAAATTTCCCAAAGGAAAGAAAATTCATTGACTAATTCTGCTGTCTTTCTGTTTCTTAATTCATTCATATCTCATTTTCTTTTACTTATCTCTTGTCTGTTTTTTATAACTCATCCATAGACTTCTAACTTCTTAGGTTGAATATTTATTTCATTGATTTTTGTTGGTTTTTCTTGTATAGTAATATAAACATTGAATATAATGAATTGTCCATTGAGTACTGTTTTAGTTAAGATTTCTTAAGTCGATTTTGTAATTTTACAGATATTATGAGTTTGGGGTTTGCTTTCTTCTTTAATAGTTGTTTACAAGAGTTCCTGTCTTACTTTAATTTCTAGTGTTAGAGCTTTCTTTCTAGCTTTTATATTCTACTTTTAATCATGCTGAGCTCAGATACCATCAGTCAATGTTTTCAACATTTCATGGAATTGTGACAAGATACATTCTATTTTAAAGTATTGAGTTGGATATAACGGACATATAATCCTGTGTTATACATTTTTATCATCTAGTATTAGAAGAGCTATTTGAGTGAGTGGTTCTTTCTTTTAAACAGTGATTCTTAACTGGTTGTTAAGAGATTTGGCAATGTCTGGAGACATTTTTGATTGTTACAACTGGTGGGGGTGGGGAGAGATAATATTGGCATTTAGTAGGAAGAGGCCAGGGATGCTGCTAAACATCCTACAATGCACAGAACAGCTCCCACAACAAAGAATTATCTGGGCCAAAATGTAACTTTTGCTGAGATTGAGAAACCCTGCTATCAGAAGAGCCTTTCTTGATAGATGTTAAAATGTGCTGATTCCTAATGCCGTAATTTCAATTTATTGCATATAACTGAAAACGAATCCATTTAGCCTTGTTTATAGTGCTTGAAGTAAACTGTCCACCTTTTACATGGACAGTTTGAACAAACTGTCCAGCTATGTTTTTTTCTTGTGTATTTTATCTTTTCTCAGATTATTAAACTGCTAATGGATGCCATGCTTTTAGTATTTGAGTTTAAAACACATGGGCAAGCGAGTCCCAATGAAAATAAGTTAATGCAGGAAACCAGGCTTCCCTGGTGGCTCAGTGGTTAAGAATCCGCCTGCCAATGCAGGGGACACGGGTTTGAGCCCTGTTCCGGGAAGATCCCACATGCTGCAGAACAACTAAGCCTGTGCACCACAACTACTGAGCCTACACTCTAGAGCCTGTGAGCCACAACTACTAAAGCCTGCATGCCTAGAGCCTGCACTCTGCAACAAGAGAAGCCACCGCAATGAGAAGCCCGCGCACCGCAGGAAAGAGTAGCCCCTGCTCGTTGCAAATAAAGAAAGCCCGTGCACAGCAAAGAAGACCCAACGCAGCCAAAAATAAATAAATTTTAAAAAATAATTTCTTCAGTATGAGTCAAGAGAAAAATTGCTCTAATAACAGACCACCATTGAAAAATAGAAGCAATCTGAAAGATTAGATTAAGCTGGTAATCTACTTTCCTTCTTGTCCCAAATTTCTTTCTTTTTTATTTATTTATTTATTTATTTATTTATTTATTTATTTATTTATTTATTTATGGCTGCCTTGGGTCTTCCTTGCTACACGCGGGCTTTCTCTAGTTGCAGCGAGCGGGGGCTACTCTTCATTGCGGTGCGCGGGCTTCTCATTGCAGTGGCTTCTCGTTGCGCAGCACAGGCTCCAGGCACGCGGGCCTCAGTAGTTGTGGCACATGGGCTCCATAGTTGTGGCTCGCGGGCTCTAGAGTGCAGTCTCAGTAGTTGTGGCGCACAGGCTTAGCTGCTGTGTGGCATGTGGGATCTTCCCGGACCAGGGCTCAAACCCGTGTCGCCTGCACTGGCAGGCAGATTCTTAACCACTGTTCCACCAGGGAAGTCCCCCCAAATTTCTTGAAATAACTAAGCAGAGAGCCAATTAAATAGACTAAGTCTATAGCACCTCTCTAAAATAAAGAAAGGGTACCATCACTGAACCCCAAATCCTTAAGATAAGAAAGCCGAGGTAATTGGATTGACAAAGAAGTAAGAGTACACAACAGTAGCCTAACATACTTGCTGGAAACAACTGCTACAAAGGTAATAGCAATTTTAGACATGCTTCAAGTTTAGAATAAAACAATAATAGTAGAAGTTCCCATGACCTCACATCTGACAGGACTATCCCCTCCATACAAACAGTTCTGAGGGGCTCCCAAAAGCCATGTTTGTTTGCTTGATTTATTTATTTATTTTTGGCTGTGTTGGGTCCTCGTTGCTGTGCCCGGGCTTTCTCTAGTTGTCATGAGCAGGGGCTACTCTTCGTTGCAGTGCACAGGCTTCTCATTGTCGTGGCTTCTCTAGTTGCAGAGCATGGGCTCTAGGTGCGCAGGCTTCAGTAGTTGTGGCACATGGGCTCAGTAGTTGTGGCTTGTGGGCTATAGAGCTCAGGCTCAGTAGTTGTGGCGCACCGGCTTAGTTGCTCCGTGGCATGTGGGATCTTCCCAGGCCAGGGCTTGAACCTGTGTCCCCTGCATTGGCAGGCGGATTCTTAACCACTGCACCACCAGCGAAACCTGCCATGTTTGTTCTTCAGGCTGAAACCTACTTCTTTCTAATCAAAGTGAATACTGTTCCAGAAGAGAGCAGGTAACTCAATATTGAGACTGGAGAAACAGATCACAACCTGGGAAACTTCAAAAAAACACACAAAAGGTAGGATTTAAAAAAGAAAAGAGCAAAGCTGATTTTGGCATTTACTTCCAGGATAAAGCTATGGAATGGGGGAGGCGGAAAAGAAGTGACAATAGCGGGAGGATTAAAGGCTACCCTTGGCCATATGAGAACCAGTGTATTATAACTGAAGCAGAACAGATTTTACCACCTTAAAATACTCCACATTGGCATAAGAATTATTTTGTGCTGAAGACAATTGTGAAGAAACAGATATAAGAAATCTGTCTTCCCCCGATTTGCCTAAAAGGAGGAAATAAACTTACAAAGTGTCCCTCCTCCCTCTCTACCAGGAAGGACAATAGTTCAACTGCTAGAGACAACTTTAGATCCTTATCAGTCTGGAGATGGCACCAGAGGAATTTACATAACAAACTTTGCTAACTAGACCTTATCTTCTCTTAGTCTCCCATATATTTGTCCTCCCACGATTTGCTGCCCCTAGACTCAAAGTCCTTTTCTTTTGTCTTGTCACTTATCAAAAAATGTATTGCTCCTTTGTTAAGAAGTTATGTAAGACCTAGTTCTAACCAAGCCTTTGAGTTACTCATCTCTGGGAACTCCCATGTGTAACATGCATGAATACACGTTTGTAAACTTCTGTTTGTTTTTCTCTTGTTAATCTGTCTTTTGTCAGTCCAATCTACAGGGCTCCAGCTGGAGAACCTAAGATGGGTAGAGGAAGAGATTCGTCCTCACCTATAAGACTATGTCAGGTAGAAGCTCGTAGTTTCCTTTTAATAAGGGAGGCAAAGAAGCCAATGACATGAGCAATCATCATGGAAACCATAAGACCGGTTGTCTCCTCTTGCCAACTCCATCTGCCTTCTGGGCAAGAAGCCTCTGAAGGAAAAGTTAAACTCTAAGGTGAACTATGGAAAACTGAGGAACAAGAGCAGAACACAGTCTACACCAGCCAACTCCAAAGAAGACAGCAACAGGGCTTTGCCTAAAACGGCCTTGAGCAATTGGTAGTCTAGGAGGCAGAACCATGTAGCTACGAGGCTCCAAATGCACTGCTGATATTCAGAATTCCAGGAGCATTCTTCAGAGGTGTGTGGCATGAAAAGGACGGCCCATATACACAGGTGTCATTAGTCACAGCTGCACCTATTAGCACCATCAATTTCCACCTCTATTCCCAGGCTTTTTAAACTGGAAACTGCATTTTGACCAGGTGGTAGACCCTGCCAGGAACGCCTCACACGTATTTCCTTTGGGGTAAGCCCCTAAACACGGGTTTTTAACTGAGTAATGTTAAAGAACAGGACTGTGCTAATACCTAAGGATCTTGCACGTATCCACACAGGCACTTCGGCAAAGCTTTATCTGCAGCTGATCTGAGTCTTGGCCGAACATCCTGGGTCCTCTGAAAACAAGAGTGTGCTAGAGGCGTGTGAGGAGCTGCTACCAGGCCGTTTCTCACTCAGTTCCCTATCTGCCAAGAAAGAGGCCACAGTGAGGCAGTTTCTCATCTTCTGCCAGGTTTTGATGAGGCCTGAGGCCTCTGACTCACCCCTTGGGGTCCAGCTGCAGACTAAAGTACCTTGGCAGCAACATAGCAGTGGCCCTTCAGCAACAGGATAGACCATCATTCATGTTGTAATCATCTGGACCCTTTTGTTTTGGTGTTGCCCTACTCCAGAGACTAAAGGGAGGAGATTGCCATCATCATAGGGACATAGAAACTGGACAAAAAAAAAAAAAAAACAGCGAGATTATGCTACTATAGAAAAAAATTATAAAACTACTTAGATTCCAATAATGATTCTCCCTCCAGGGTCCTGCTGGTACGTAATTATATCTTTGTTTCTTTAACTGATCAATATTCCTAATAGTGACGCCATTTCCACATTAGAGTGTCCTGCTTTGTCACCATTGCAAGTCTAGCTTGCACAAGAGTTGGTAAAATTTCCCATATTATAATTTTTTTTTTTTTTGCGGTACGCGGGCCTCTCACTGTTGTGACCTCTCCCCTTGCAGAGCACAGGCTCCAGACGCGCAGGCTCAGCAGCCATGGCTCACGGGCCCAGCCGCTCCGCGGCATGTGGGATCTTCCCGGACCGGGGCACGAACCCGTGTCCCCTGCATCGGCAGGCGGACTCTCAACCACTGCGCCACCAGGGAAGCCCTCCCATTTTGACCAAAAATATGTCTTATCTACCTCCAGGAAGAATTAATAAACCAGATTATAAGAGTTATTAAAATTTAATGGAGCAAGTTTTTATTCCAATTATCCAGTGAAACAACATTAATATATCAAATATTAATATAAATCTGAAGAAAAATGCAAAGATTTCTAGGTTGTTTTTTTTTTTGCTTTTTTATGATTTATATGTAGTCTCTAAGGGGGAAAAATGTCTTGCTAAGGTAGTAACAGAAAAAAATGTTTTAAGAGAAGCTTATGATAATTGGTTACTTGGAAATATGTCAAGAGCAAAAGTTGTTTTTAAAAAACTTACAAATTTTAATAACTGGTACATAGTTATATAGGGAAAAGTTTTATATAATAAGATGATACCTTGGATAAATTAGACTGGTTTAATCTTTTGGTTTAGAAATAGCTATCTTTTCTCTGATTTTACCAGTATAATACTATTTAGCATATTTTCTTGGGTTTATTTTCTAATTAAAAAGCTAATTAATTTGAGTTTTCTAGATTTCCTCTACTGATTTTAATGGTCAAATAAGCCAATTCATAATAGATTATAAAATATTAAAATTATGTGTCAAAATAAATTGAATTATAATAGGTAATTCTTTATAAGAGGGATTCTTACAATGCTATAAATCATACAGACTAATGTGTCAGCATAAATTATAATATCCAAATCCTTACTTTTAAATACTTAAACTAATATTAAATTGTGTTAATCACTGAGTTATATTTGGGTACCTGAAAAATTTCCAGGTAAGATAAAGACACAAAACATTGATCACTAAACATATTAATTTACCCTCTTTCTTATTTTTACAAAAACTATAGAATGGCAATCAGCAGATTAAAGGATGAACTTGCCCTTAAACGAAAATATACATGAATATTTTTGCCAACTTAAAATTTGATAAGACGATAGTGTGGATGAAAAATTGTTGCTCACCATCTGCCTCTACAGGGATTAGGTCACTAGCCACTGCAGTCCTTCAGCACACCCCGAAAGGGGTTCAGGGCGGAGATCATGGAAAAACTGGCAGAACAGGCCTTCAGATAGTTAGATGTTTTCAGAAGAAGGTTTTATGAGCCTAATTTCTTACATCTTCTCATATCCAGAAAAGCACTAAAATCATTAACAGAGACATCTGCTCCTCATGAATAGCAGTAAACTTCCAGCAAAATGTGTGCTTGATTGCACGTCTCCCCCTTCACTAAAATCTTGTATATACTGACCTCCTTCTTTACCTCTTCAGAACAGTTCCTCAAATAAAAACGCAGACTTAGAGAACGGACTTGAGGACACGGGGAGGGGGAAGGGTAAGCTGGGACGAAGTGAGAGAGTGGCATGGACATATATATGCTACCAAATGTAAAATAGATAGCTACTGGGAAGCAGCCACATAGCATAGGAAGAACAGCTCGGTGCTTTGTGACCACCTGGAGGGGTGGGTTAGGGAGAGTGGGAGGGAGACACAAGAGGGAGGAGATATGGGGATAAACGTATACGTAGAGCTGATTCACTTTGTTATACAACAGAAACTAACACAACATTGTAAAGCAGTTATACTCCAATAAAGATGTTAAAAAAAAAAGAAAGAACAGTTCCTCAGAGCTGAGAGGCTGTCTCCCTGGCTATAGTTCTCATTTTATCCCAAGTAAAACTTAACTCACAACTCTCACGTTGTGCTTTTTTTATTTCAGTTGACAGTAGATAATTAGTACTTATGGACAAACATAGCTGTAGACCTTGTTTCTTCTCATTTTAATTTTCTCTGTTAATTGGGTACAAAATTTGGTTGCTATAGTTAAAGATCTCAAAAGCCCTCTCTTGGAAGCCAGATCCTAAATAGACCTTCCTTTCTTAACAGGTGTTATAGCAACAGCCCCCAGTCTCTGGGCATTTCAAACTATGCTAAGCCTCTTTTCACTATTAATTGATAAAAGTCAAGCTTATATTTTAGGGTAGTAACTCCAATTTAAAACCCTAAACTTTTCTCATTCTAATTTGATACTAAACTCTGATGACAATCTTAATATGATTTTATTTGGTATTAGGAATACTTAAGGTAATTTCTAAATATTTTATTTAAAATATTATGTTATTAACAAATCATCCCATTCAGATAACTGACCCAAGCATGCCACATTACCAGAGGCTTAAGAATGAACATCTATAGGGCTTCCCTGATGGCGCAGTGGTTGAGAGTCCGCCTGCCGATGTGGGGGACATGGGTTTATGCCCTGGTCCGGGAAGATCTCACATGCCGCGGAGCGGCTGGGCCTGTGAGCCATGGCCACTGAGCCTGTGCGTCTGGAGCCTGTGCTCCGCAACGGGAGAGGCCACAAGAGTGAGAGGCCTGCATACCACAAAAAAAAAAAAAAGAATTAACATCTATATACTTAATAGTAGATATTATGCCTTTAAAGTTGCTTATGAATTTGCCATGCTACAAAAATAAAGGAGTTTTCTACCTTCTTTGTGAAGCCCAAGAAAATTATTGGAGATTATCCAACATCAAAAAAAAATCTCATTATTAAGCTTAAAACCAATGAAGAAAATGCATTTTCTATTATTATGCAAACTAGTGACTCTTACTGGTTTTCATCCAAAAGAGACTAAACATTTACAGTCAATAGAAAGATAGTTATGTAATCTAGTTTCTAGAAGGAAAAAAACCTTATTGATAAAATCTTCCATTATTTGTAATTTTTATAAACCCCTAATAAACTGAAGCTGTAGGGCAAGAACTGAAACCCCTACCTAGTGAATCATTTGAACATTTACAAATGAATCTCACTTTTTTGTTTCAAGCTTTGATATATATTTTTTAATGATTATTTATAAATAAATATTTTGGTTGAATTTAAGCAGTCTTTTGCCAAAAGACTAACATGCTGATATAAAAACAAAGATTTCATTTTCCCACCTGGAAATATGAATAACAGTGAAAGCTCACTTTACAGGTAAAATATTTTTTAAATGTATGCAAAGTATTCACATTTAACTGAAAAGTCCACATCATTTTCAAAGCTCTAAGAAGAAAAAGGCAAGCTAATGACATTTTAAAGTCAATACTGCCCAGCTTCCAAAGAAGCTTACTCTCCCTCGAATGATAATGGGATCTTATCTCAAAATCTCTATGGGGACTTCCCTGGTGGTGCACTGGTTAAGAATCCGCCTGCCAATACAGGAGACACAGGTTCAATCCCTGGTCTGGGAAGATCCCACATGCCGCAGAGCAACTAAGCCTGTGCGCCACAACTCCTGAGCCTGCGTTCTAGAGCTTGTGAGCCACAACTACTGAGCCCACGTGCCACAACTACTGAAGCCTGCGCACCTAGAGCCTATGCTCTGCAACAAGAGAAGACACTGCAGTGAGAAGCCCGTGCACGGCAACAAAGAGTAGCCCCCACTCGCCACAACTAGAGAAAGCCCACGCGCAGCAACAAAGACCCAAGGCAGCCAAAAATAAATAAAATTTTTTAAAAATCTCCATGAACTCTCACTATATTGTTACTAAAATTACCTTTAGGCTTGGCTTGAGTTCTCTACTGACAGATTCTGCCTTGATGCATCCTGATCTCATTGAGTATTATTATTTAGCTCATTTATGTGCTTAGTTATATACCCAGCAGCTGCCAGCCACACATCCAAAAGGGAAACCAATAATACACCTCTACAGACTAACTAGTTTAGAAGCACTACCACATGGATGAACCTTGAGGACATTATGCTAAGTAAAATAAGCCAGTCACAAAAGACAAATATTGAATGACTCCACTTAGAGGAGGTACCTAGAATAGTCAACTCACAGAAACGGTGGTTGCCAGGGGATGATGGGGCAGGGGGGTGGGGAGGGAGATGGCGGAATGAGGAGTTAGTGCTTAATGGATATGGAGTTTCAGTTTGGGAAGATGAAAGCTCTGGAGGTGGATAGTGGTGATGGTTGCACAATGTGAGTAATGCCCCTGAACTATACACTTAAAAGTGGTTAAAATGATAAAATTCGTTTTATATATACTATACCACAGGAAGGAAAAGGAGAAGGAGAGAGAAGAACTTAAGATTCTACAACCTGGCCATACAAACCTGCTAGAGGCCTGACCCTGAAACCCACTAAAAGGCTCCAGAAACAGACCACGACCAAAGCAGACAGCTTCCTGTGAATTCTGTAATTAAGATTCTCTGACTCAAGATGACATTGGGTGCAGACAGTGTCCCGCCAAGGCCTTCAAATCAAGACTTGTAATCAGGATATAGGATTTACATTTGAGCTTAGGTTTAATAATCATCTCACCTCCATTTCCTTACTCCTTTCACGTTAATCTTTTCTGTGGGCAACACTATCAATTTCCAACTGTTAAATTTGTTGTCCAACCTTCCAAAGTATTTAAAACAAAGCCTGATATCAAAACTTATCAAAAAGGATCTAAGACACTGGATATCACTGATTTCTTTTTTTTTCTTTTTTTAAAAATATTTATTTATTTGGCCGTGTTGGGTCTTCATTGCTGCATGGGAGCTTTCTCTAGTTGTGACGAGCAGGGGCTACTCTGTTGTGGTGCA